TTTTTTTCCTTACTGGAAAACTTTATAAACGCACTGTAATAACAAAAAAAAAAAAAAAAAAAAAAAATTAAAAAAAAAATATTAAAAAAAAATAAATAAAAAAAAAAAAAAAAAAAAAAAAATTAAAAAAAAAAAAAAAAATAAAAAAAAAAAAAAAAAAAAAAAAAAAAAAAAAAAATTCGGAAAAAATTGATGTTTGAATTATAAAAAATTAATAATTTTCTTTAAAAAAAAAAAAAAAAAAAAGAAATAATGTTCAGGTACTTATGCATGCATTTTTGCTATGCAGAATATATAACTTTAATATGTATTAGCCCATGCATTTTTTTTTTTTTTTTTTTTTTTTGTATTGTTGAAGTCGGGCACCTCAAGATTAAAAAAAGAAAAAAGAAGAAGGAAAAAAGAAAAAAGAAAAAAGAAAAAAACATTTAAAATTATTGTGTGTAAGTCTCAACATATATAGCATACAATTTTGTTGTCATTTTATTTCTCACGTGAACAATAACAATGTATATAAAGTTGCAATTCATGTCGGTTACCCTTTTTAAATGAGAAAAAATCGAATTTATAATAATTTTACAACAAAATTCAAGTCCTTTCCCCAGCTCTACATAAAGTACATAATTTTTATCATTATTATTTGATTACGTTTCCTCCTTGTATTTATTTTACTATTTTTCTTATTTTATATTTCCTTGATTTCTACATTCTTAATTTCGGTTTCTTAATTTTTATTTCCTTAATTTCTACTCTCTTAATTTCCACTTTCTTAACTTTTTATTTCCCCTTTTTTTCTGCCAAAATGAGGCCACTTTCGATTAATAAACTCAAAGAAAACATATCCATATAGAACATCCCAGATGGAAATTTTGTGTATGTCACATTTTGCATCACATATATATATGTATATATACAGCTGAGTATATATATTTACCTATTTCTCTCTCACCCCTGGTTTCATCCTTCATTTTTGTAAAATCCTACGCATTCTTAATGAATAATAAAATGAACAGAGAAAACATCGTCTCCATACAATCACAAGTTTTTGATGGATTTTGTGGAAATAATGTTGCTTCATTCGTTTTGAGAAGAAGGGGACATGTGCCAAAAATACTGAACACCGTTCAGTATTACTCAAAATACAAACATAAGGGTGTCGAAACAAAACATGATGAAATGAAAACCATTTTAAGTGAATTCAAAGCAGAAATGGCTAGTTTGAGTTCTAATGACAATAATAATATACACTTTTTGACAGGATATATTAAAACAAAGGAATGCGTCGAAGCTGTGATTAACAGCATTCTGGAATTGAAAAATGCCAAAACTAAAAAAAAATGTGATCACATGAATGGAAAAATGAAAGCCACGAAGGAGAAAAAAGAAAACGAGAACGGTCATACCATATGTTATCATGGCTCCGATACCATCCCTTACAATGACCATTGTATCGATAATTCAGAAAAATACTGCGTGGAAAATTTAATTAATTTAAATTTCTTCTGGTTATGCGATCCAGTATTGGGAGATAATGGTAAACTATATGTGGACAAGGATGTTGTACAATCCTACAAAAGTTGCATTCCGTTCGTTGATATAATTACTCCAAATCAATTTGAATTGGAATTATTATGTGATATGAAAATAAGTAGTGAAAATGACGTGATGAAATGTATACTTTTTTTATTAAATAAAGGCATCAAATTAGTTATTGTAACCTCAGTTCACTATTTATTCGACACAGATCATCTGTACTTATATGTTGGTTTTTTAAATAACAAAAAGGTAGTCAGCTTCAAGTATAAAATATTTAGATTCCATTTTCACGTTTGTGGATGTGGAGATTTGTTTGCATCCCTGCTCCTCTCATTCATACTTAGGCACCGGGGAAACATTCTTCTGATCATTTCAAAAGTTCTGAATATATTACACGTAAGAAAAGAAGAAGCACATTTTGAGAGAGTGAGAAAGAGTGAGATATATAGAGAAAGAGTGTGAAGGAGTGAGTGAACGGGAAAGGTCGATCGAGATGGGAGGAAAATAGAACTCTGGTTCTCCTGGTTCACCATGTGAATGTACAGATAGCCACACGGAGGCAATATATTTACGCATGTTCGTTCATCCTGTTTAGCTTATTCTTATATTATTATTACTTGTTTTATTTTATTTGCATATGCCTGTAAATACATGTTATGCCCCATAAATTTTTTTTTTTTTTTTTTTTTTTTTCCAGAATGTTATAAAAAATAGCCTAACCTGGGAGGAGCTGAAAATAATAGGTTAGAGTTTTCAACTAGTTTCCCATGTTGCAAAAAAAAAAATACATTCCCTATCGTTTTGTTCTTTGCGCACGTGTGTCTGTGTTCACGTTTCTGCAAGTTCTACCTTTTTGCAAGTTCTACCCTTTTGCAAATTCTACCCTTTTGCAAATTCTACCCTTTTGCAAATTCTACCCTTTTGCAAGTTCTACCCTTTTGCAAGTTCTACCCTTTTGCAAGTTCTACCCTTTTGCGAAATATTTTTTTCAGCGTTTTTACGCATCCATGTCACTTTTCTCCACATTTCCTCCCAATTTTTTTAGAAAACCAAGATATAATAGCCAGTGATGGGTTATGTGACAATTTAATTAAAGAGGAACCAGTTTGTGTATCTTAACCCCACCTAAACTTATGCATCTTCAATTTTGCCTCTTTTTTTTTCTTTCGTTTTTCTTTTTTTTTTTTTTGGTGAAATGGCATGCCCATTTTAGCATTAAAACGAATTCGTTCAAATTTGTGATATAAATTTATCCTTTCTGATTTAATATATGTGGTCAACGTATTTATGAACATTAATATAATTCAACAAATTAGCAAATTCGCAAATTAGCAATTTGACTTCAAGCTATTTTGTTCATATTTTTTTTTTTTTTTTTTTTTTTTTTTTTTTTTTCTAATTTTTTTTTTTTTTTTTTTTTTTTTTTTTTACCTTTTAAGGTAAATTTTTTTTTAAAATTAAAATTTTTAAAATAACTTTAAAATATTTTTTATTTTTTTTTTTTTTTTTTTTTTTTTTTTTTTTTTTTTTTTTTTTTTTTTTTTTTTTTTTTTTTTTTCCTAATTAGCTTTTTTTTATTTTTTTTTTTTTATGACCTGTTAAGGTAAATTATTTTTTCAAAATGAATAAAGGTACCCCCTTAAAAATATTAATTTATCATCTGAGTAAATGCATTGATGTACTTATGCTTTTTAATTATCATGTATGAATAATATAAGGACAATTAAATCAAACTTTACACGTTTCCCAAAGTGCGCCTGTGTTCAGCTGATGTTACACACGCATATCAACAATTTGTTGCAATTGAGAACAAGAACCACATATGAAATTCACGAAATTGTACCTATTTGGTATGGTAACAACTCTAATCATATCTTTTTTATTTTTCGTTTCGATCGCATAAAAAACTGCCTGACCAAAAAAAAAAAAAAAAAATGTCCTATGGCTGGTTAACAGAAAGTACATTATTCGGAAAAAAAGAAAAAGTAATTGAACTAAGCAAAGACAAGTTATTCAGCGAAAGTAAAGATAATAAGAAGAGCGAAAACAGTATCGATCAACTAAATGGAATTGTGAATTCATACCTTCAAAATGTAAAGGAAAATAAAAAAAATCAAATAGGGAGAAAAAAGGTAACAGTCGAGGGGATGCTTATATAGAACTTTTGTCATATGCATGTGTGTATAAACTACCGCAATAAAATACTAGGAAAATCGTCCCTCCTTTTCTCACATTAAAAAAAAAAAAAAAGTTGTACATAAATTGAAAAATAGTAACACAAATATGTAATACCATCTTTGATATGCTCATTTGTTGTGTATCCGTTTCCGTAATTCAATTTCCACCTATTTTACATTCCATTTTTCTCTTAGTCAACGTTTTTTTATTTTTTATTTTTTAATTATTTTTTTTATATTTTTTATTTATTTTTTTTTACATTTTTTTATATTTTTTTATATATTTTTATATTTTTTTATATATTTTTATATTTTTTTATATATTTTTTATTTATATCGCTTCCCTTTTCGCAGCTGAGTTATCATGAGAAACTATACAATGGCAAAAATGACGGCGTGGAGAAACGGAACAACCGAGACAAGAAACTAACATCAGTAAAAAAGCAAATAAACAAAGTAAAAAAGTATGAACAACTTCAGAAAAAAGGATGCAATGACCCAAAGTGCTTAGTGAATTTTGAATCAAAGAAGGAAATAGAAAATGAACTGGAAGAAATACGAAAACTGAAGGCTCAAAAGAGTGGGCAAAATTATGTAGAAAATTGAGGAATTAATTATAGACATGGAAGAATAATACAGGGATAGGGAAGGGGCGAACGGGATGGCTCATATCCAAATTGGAACAGATTTGCTCAAAATGAGATCTGTTGGGTGTAGACAAATATTTTGTATGACCCTTTCAATAACCTGAAAAAAAAGCCTCTTCGCAACCTTGGTGTAAGTAGGTATCCTCCACGTATAAGCAAACATATATGAATGATTTGAAACACACCAAAATGTTAATACAGTATATACAAAAAAAGTCCAACTGAAAATAACAAACGAAACATTCTGCATGTCGGAAAATCAAGCAATAGGAAAATCAAGCAATTGGAAAACCAAGCAATAGGAAAACCAAGCAATAGGAAAATCAAGCGTTAGTAAAGTTACACTTTTTTAAATAAAAATTCTGAAAATCGTTGTACTCCCACTTTGTTGAAAATGTATCCCCCTTTTTCCATTCTAGTAATGTTCTTATGAAAGTTTTGTGAACTTATTTTTATGCATCAAGGATGGTTTATTTATTTACTTTATTTTTTTTTTTTTTTTTTTTTTTTTAGTCTCTTCATTTGTTAATGTCTCACATTGTGTTATTCCGTCCTCTGGGGTATTATGTTAACTTTCTTAGTTATAAATTAATTCCACTTTTTTTTAAATTATGAACATTGCATTTTTTTTTTTCTTTTTTTTACCATGTCCATCGTCCCTCTTCTTCGTTTTCGTTAAGGTGGTCTAATAAATGGATCATAAAATTTTTTTTTATTTTTTTTTCTCCAATTTCCTGTTTTATGCTCGAAGCAGATAAATACCAATTGAACATTTCATTCCTTTTGCTTTCGCATAAATGTGAGAAAGAGTCCTACCAAAAAGTGGACGTTTATCATGGGTTTGATATTGTGGGAAAAATGTACAATGAAGTGGAACACATGAAGCAATTTATTGAAAATGTAAGGTTTACACACAAATATGACTACATTTCATATTTTTTTTTTTTTTTATGATCATCGGGTTTTCGTGCTGTACACCTTTGCTTGGAGCAGTATATTCCTTCCTAAAAACCATGGTATGCAAGTGTTTGAAGCTTTAGATTTAATTTTGCATAATTTTTGGAATAACTTTGGGAATATTTATCCTTTTTAAAGAGCGAACATTAAAAATGTTTTGCTTTTTCACATTTTCACCAAAGTTATACAAGTACATTTCCACACTTTTTTGCACAATTTTATTCTTTCTTCCGCTTTTGTGCAGTTTTGCGAATTTTTTTTTTTTTTTTTTATGCAATTTCTCCTGAACAAGGAATAATTTTAAAAAATGTTTTCCACTTTTTGTGCACACTGGAAGGAGAAAAGGGGAAAAAATCGGCATTTTATTCTGAACGTTCATGTATTTTATAATATTTAAGGTTTTTTTTTTTTTTTTTTTTTTTTTTTTTTTTTTTAAATGACAATATGCCATTTTGTAGAACAAATGGGAAAGGTATATTTTCCACTGCCAAATGTGCACACATAATTGTTCATCCAAATGTTCCATTCATGTGTTTTAAATCGTATGAAGATTGTTACTGTTTCATATTTTGACATTTTTTTTTTTTTACTCAAAATAAGAGTTTAAAAAGAAAAAGAAGGCAAAAAACTTTGTGAGAGAGAACCGCATACAGGAGAGAAGCGTGTAAGAAAAAACTGTATGATCATCGCCTCTTCATATTAGACAACGTGAGCCTTTTTTCCCTCAATTCTTCAAAATGAACAACCATTCGGTATACAACAAATTCAACTCCACACTGTCAGTGTTTAATAACAACAGCAACTTAAATAGTAGCGTATACATTTCAGGAGATAAAAAATCTAAATCAAGAACATCCTTGAATGCCTTGTCATTTTACAAATCCAACGCATCTGTATATATAAAGAAAGTGGATAAAACTGATAAAAAGGAAAATGTAAAAACACTAATTCGATATTTGGGATGGAAGAATTACAGTGGGAGTATATCTCCTAATTTGTTCAAAAATCCAAGTGTGACAGATTTGATAAATATATGGAATTTTATATTTAAGCATGTTGACCCCTTAATTGAAGTTAATAAAGACAATTATGGAGAAGTAGTATTAAGCTTTTATAAAGATATTGGGTACCCATATACGATCTCTAAATCAACATTGGTTGCACCGACCACCGGTTTGCAATATAATACACATTTGTCTGCGTTAGCATGGCTTTGTCAGCTATTAATTTTCGAAGCTGAATGTTTTAATGACATAAATGAAGAAAAAGATTTGAACTGTTCATACGATTTTAACGAAGATAGTGAAATAAAAATGGAAGATTTTATTTTACAAAGCTATAGATCATACATTAACAAAGATGAAGTAAACGCAAATGATGTATTGAATGTAAAACTAGACAAAGAGATTAGTAGGTTACAAAATGATATAAGTACGAAAAGCGAAGATATTTTAGAAAAAAAAAAAAAAATTGAAGAAATAAAAAATCACATGAAAGAAAATGAGGAACTTATTAAGAGAAATAAAGTACTATGTGATGAAAATAAAAAAATAAAAAATCTTTACACGAACAGCTTGGAGGAAACAAAAAAGCTAGAAAAAGAAATTGAAATGTGTAAAAAATCAAATCAAGAAGAAAAGACAAAAACAGATAAAATCATAGAACAAATTAATAAAGTTAAAGAAGTGTTGCAAAAACAAACATTAAATAAAGCACAATTCTTACAAATGAATGAAGATATAGAAAAAAATAAAGAAAAAATTGAACATATCAAAAATGAAATCAAGAGTTTAAATAATGAATATCCAGGCCTCAGTGATAAATTGAATAACAGAAGTAGTGATTTAAAAAAATTAGCCAAAAGTGTTAATGAAAAATTATCGGAAATTTTACAAAATTTAAATATATATAGAAATGTCTCTTCCTCTGAATGGAACAAAATAAACAATGTTACTATCAATGTAGACTCTTTCACAGTTGACAATATGTTGAATGTAAGCTGGAAGGATACAAAAAGCAATATCAAATCTTTCATTGAAGCGGATAACGAAGAGCTAAAAAATTCTATAAACCTCATTGAAGATTATGAAAAAAAAGTTAAACTCCTCCAAGATGAGATAGACGATTTAAAGGAGGATATACAAGACAGGGAAAATAAAATCAAAAAGTTGAATGATGATACGGACAAGTTTATCAATACCTCTTCGGAGAAATTTAGTTGTATCGTTAAACAAAATGAGGTTCGTCAAGGGATACGTCTGTTCGAATCCCTTTGTTTGAGTTTGTCATTTTAGATCCGTTTTGACCGATTAGAGGTGGTGTCGATCCGCCTCGACCCGTTTGGATCCATTTCCTCTATTCTTCTCATTTATCATTATCTTTCCATGATGTGTATTAATATGTATCATCCATTTGATCAACCTTTTCATTTCTTTTGCACCCTTGCAGAAAATGTTGGAAGAAGCCAAGGAGAAAAGTGTAAGATTTTTTTTTTTTTTTTTTTTTTTTTTTCTTTTCTGCATTAATCTCAACGATATGTACACACCCGATTATCCATTTGTACTAATTATTAACAAATTGTGAAATTATGAAATTATGAAATTATGAAATTATGAAAATAGGATTTTACTTCACTGATGAACATTTTTGCTTTCAAACATGTGCATAGGGGTCATACAATAATTGGAGTGTATATATATTTTTTTTTCCTGGTGAATATATATTTCCACTATACCACTCTTCTTCTTCTTCTTCTTCTTCTTCACTTCAGGACAAAGCGAACGAAATGTTAAAAGAAGTCATTGCAGAGAAGGAAGAGAAAGAAAACGAATTTAACAAAATTAAAATGGATAACGAAAAAACATTCAAAGAGAAATTATTTACACTTCAAAAGGTAAGAGAGGGAAAATTTGTTCTTTCAATGGAGCATATTAGGACAATTTTGAGGCATGTGTTACATTTTCTTGAGTATAAATATGGAGTCAATATCTTTCTTTGACGCCGTGCAAGCGAAATAAAATAAAAAATGGAACAAAATTGAGCAAAATTGAGCAAAATTGAACAAAATTGAACAAAATTGAACAAAATTGAACAAAATTGAACAAAATTGAACAAAATTGAACAAAATTGAACAAAATTGAACAAAGCTGAACAAAGCTGAACAAAGCTGAACAAAGTTGAACAAAAATGAACACAACACAGCGGAAATAATAAGTGGCGCAATGAATGCCCTAACTGCTTAAACATACGAGGAATGCAAGCTCATTACTTAAACACTAACTTGTAACTTTTCAGACATGTACCCTTCTGATGGAATTAAAAAGCTACAGCAAATCTTATGTCTCCATGTAATTAACACAAATGGATCAATATATGCACGCGCAATAAAAAAATATATATATGCGTGTGTCGTTTCTACATAAACATTACACTCTGTGCACTTTCACATACGTATCTTTCAAAGTTTCTTTTTGCACACCCACATATATACACACGTGCATATGAATATATATATATATATATATATGTATATAAACATATATATGTACATTTTTTACTCCAAACTTACAGCATGCTGGATGAAAAGAAAAGAGAATTAGAGTTGTATAAAAATCTTCACAAAAGCGTGATCGAGTAGGTTGAAAAATATATGTAGGAGTAAAAAAAAAAAAAAAAAGATCGAAGGGGGGAGGTAAAAAGATTATTACATTTTTCCTCTAAAAAAAGTGTATAACATTTTTGATCACCTGTCATGGGCATAAATTTGTTGACACAATGTCATTAATTTGCTGAATAGCACGTTGTATATTTTGATCATTCATTTTAATAGTATTTTCTATGTTTTGTATTTTTTTTTCCAAATTTTCAATGTCAGACTTTTCTTTGTTTTGTTTTTTTTCAAGTTTATTTACGTCTTCTAATTTCTGAATTTCAGAACATAAAATTTCATAAATTTCTTTTCTTTTTCGATCTTTTTTAATTTCATCCAATAACCCATGGTAAATTTTATTTTTCTTCTTTATGATTTTCAATCCTTTTATATTCTTTTTTGTTTTTTTACTTAAAAAAAGAAAATCCCTCCGTAGGCCATGTAATTCTGTATGTAATAAATTTATGTTACTTCCAATTCTGTTGAAATATGTGTATCCATTTAAGAGTGATAAATTTTCACTTAACAAATTCTTCTTTATTTCCTCAGCTGTGCATGTAGATTCTGTTGGTGAAGAATTCTTTTCATCTTCCACCTTTTCACCATCATCTTCGCACCCTCGTTTTCTGGCACTGCTACTATTGCCACTACTATTTGCAGTACTCTTTCCACTGTTCTGATATTCGTTCGGTTTGCATTGGTTCTCCCCGCTTGTTACTGATGCAGATGTTGGGATGTCTTTTACAAATAACTTTATTGATTTGTTTATGCAAAGAGAGAGATCTGTCTTGGGTTCAAAAAGACTTTGCAAACAACACCCAGCAAAGGCGTCTTCCATAATGTGTCTCGCTCGAGGGGGGTGGGAAAAAAAAAAAAAAAAATTGTAGCACTTTTATAATAACGCTTCAGATGATTAAGGTGCTGCTTCAGATGATTAAGGTGCTGGTGATGAACTTTGTCTTGATGTCCTCCCCCCCTTACCGTTTCAGTTAGGAATTATATGTCCTTGTTCATTGTGTATTAATGCATTTTGGTTTAAGCAAAAAAAAAAAATACCTCAAGAGAAATGGGGCTAGATACAAATAATCAGGGATGGTGGTAAATGGGGTTGGGATGTCACGTTTGTTAGATATCTCTGTACGGATTGTACCGTACTCCCCACTACCATAAATTCTAACTCATCTAGTACTTATTCTCGAGATTCAACTGTAAGCACATGTTATTCACATCAAGCCATACAACGATTAAGCTTGAGGGATACTTATGTAGAACACAGATATGTTCCTACTCTTTTTTTTTTTTTTTTTAATTAAATTAGGGAAAAAAAAAAAAAAAAACACTGATATAAACTCAACGGATAAAACAAGCATTCACTATATTTATTGAATTGTTATAAAATTTTTCTTCCCTAAATGTACAGTAAATAAAGTGAAATAAAATAAAGTAAAAATAAAAAAAAAATAAAATTATGCCAATAAATTTACTTCATGTTCAGGTGAAAACATCATGTACAGTATTCTAAGATAATCCGTTTTCCCACCTCCGCTTATGTTTTCCTTTCCAAATTAATTTAGAATAAAATGTTTTGGAAAACGGATTAGAAAAGCAAAATGAAAAGCACAGTGGGAGGGAGAAAAATCATGAGCGGCGTTGCGCAGAAATATGGTACATGCATGTTCATACAAAATTTGTTCAAATGTATGCATGTTCATACAAAATTTGTTCATATGTATGAATGTTCATGCAAAATTTGTTCATATGTATATGCCTTTTTGCAAAGAGATGGCGACGATGCATGAGTTTTTCTTCCATTCCATGCCCCTCCCCCAGATTTGTTTTTACTTATTGCAAAAGGTAAGAAATTTTCAGTGAAAAATGAGTGCCGATTGGCCTAAATTACCCCTACACACACACCCTTGCCAAAAAAAAAAAAAAAAAAAAAAAAAAATATATATAATAAATAAACAAATCAGTAAGTCAATCAATGAATGGATGAATAAATCAACAAGAACAACAAGCTGGAAGTGGGTACTCAAATAAATCACGTTTTGCAAAAACGACAAGATTTTCCACTTTGCCCAGTAGCAAGAAGAGGCCTCTGCACGATTCTCAGCGAAGCTGATTTCCATTAAATTGATAAAGAGGAAAAAGAAAATTTATTTCCCTGCCCAAAGCATATAATCACTCATTATGTGTGTAGGCGCAAAGAAACACCACAAAGTAGCAACAAACAAGAAAAAAAAAAAAATAAATAAATTAATAAATATATAAATATATTAATAAATATATAAATATATTAATAAATATATAAATATATTAATAAATATATAATTATATTAATAAATATATAAATATATTAATAAATATATAATTATATTAATAAATAAATGAATTAATAAATAGATAAACAAGTAAATGTCGTGACCGTTCCTGCAAAACATCTCCGAGGGGACGGACTGGACAGAGTTCTCTGCAGGGACATGCATTTTCTTCTCCTTTATGCGACATTTGGCATACACAAATTAGTAACGAGTTTCGCACTCTTCCTACAGCACTCCTATTGTCATTCACCATACGATAGGAGTTTATTTGTAAGGCAGCATCATCATAATTGTAGAACATGGTCGATAAAAAAAAAAAGGCATTATGACGCACTAAAATGTCAAGACAAAAATTTGAATAAACATAAAAGAAGTTGGCCACATATTATAAGCTCTTTGGAATCCCCAATAGTTGGAATACCAATTGGTGACAAGTTCAATCTTGACCATAAGGATGATAACAAATTGGGAATGTCATTTTTCCCCAGTAGTGTAAAGGATGGGAATACTTTTAAGTTAAGCAAAGAAATTCCACCTTCTCATTTGAACAGAGCTAGGCTGAACACATTATTGTGCATGGAATATTTACCGGACTCATCCAAAGCATACTTAAAAATTGTCTTGGAAAAATTCAAGACAAGTGATTTACAAATTAAGGAAAATATTTTATTTCACTACATTTTGAAGTATTTACATGGGCGCAACTGCAATGGAGAAAAAATTAGCGTCGAAAAAGAGACCCAGTTAATTAACCACATTGAAAATAACACTTTGAAATTTATTTCTGACCATGCAAGAATTTTGAAGAAATGTGTGAAGAGGAGGAAAGAGGTAATAACACAGTTGAGGATAATGGACAGTGAAGAGGAAAAAATACAGCAGCAGGAGGAGCAGCAACAGAAGCAGCAGCAACAGGAGCAACGGCAACGGCATCAGTCCCCGCCTTCTGAAAACAAAATTATCGATGCATACCTAAAAATTAAAAAAAAATTGAACGTAATTTTGGTGAGCATAAAAAGCGAAAGAAAAACATACAAAATGTACAGGAAAATTAAGAGAAATATTTCTTTTTATGACACACTTGATCGACTCATCATTTTGAATTTTTTTTATCGACGTGCAAAACATAGATTTGCATTACTCTTTTTCAAAAAGTATATTTTCAAAATTGGAAATAAAAACAATTTATTTATCATTAATTTTATTAACAAGTTAAGGGAAAAAAATGTACTTAGCAGCTATATTTTGAATCCAAATTTAGCATACCATGCGATTTTTCATTTTCCCGAAACTTTCAGTAAGTGTAAAGACAAATTTAAGTGGATCATGCTACCTATTAACACTTGCAATTATATTGAAAATTATATCAAGGAGAATGTTTTCTTCGGATGCACGTACCCAAATGGAAGTAAACGAAATAGTGGTAATGGCTGCCAATCAGACACGAACTTTTTAATGTACATAAACATGATGAACTCCTTTTTAGAAAAAAGAAATTATTATTTCCCAGAACTATTCCTAAAACAGTTTTGCCTGTACTATTCAGAAAAAAAAAACATTTCATATGATCACAAATGGTACTATTTCTTGATCACATTATCCTTTTTAATGAAAATATTTTATCTAAAAAAAAGGTATCACGTGAGAAAATGGGAAGAAGTACTTTCAAAGGAGCAAATAAACCATCTCCTTAAAAACCGTGTGACAATATACGATGATGATATTTTTAGGGACAGAAAGAATTACCTCATCACATATGCAGAAAAACGCCTGAACAGTCAGGTAATATCTTATCTACTGGAAAATATGCAATCTGATGAAATGAATAAACAAGGGGGTAAAGAGAAGAGCGTTACAAAAGCTTATTCCACTTTGCTCCTATTGCAGTACCTTTTCTTGCTTAATCTAAACCTGATAAATGTGAACTTTGTAAATAGAAGTTCTGCAAATCATTTTGAAAATTTAGAAATTAATAACGAAGAAATGGCGAATAAAATGAGTAGGAAGGAAATTATGAAACATGTCCAAAATGATGACTCATCAGAGATTATAAGGATGGAAAAAAAAAAAATTCCATTTTTGAAAAATGAAACAGTACTACCCCAACAAAGAAAACGTACCTTTTTATACATAATTAGGATGTATAAATCAATTTTATCAAATGATTGTGATCAGACAAATGACACTATTCTTATGTACAACAATATATTTGATGAGTTAAAACTTTTTGTGCAGAACTATATGTCAGACTTAATGGAAACATCTTTACACAAAGAACGTGAAATATATCACGAATTGATGATGAGCCAAAAGGGTATGTTACTGCTATGCAAAATAAATACATGCCTTTTTTTTATGCTCTTGTCAACCATGGACATATGTAATTATAAAAATATCGCATTAAGTTTTTTGCAAGAAAATGAAAAACTACTAAGAAATATCCAACCACAGGTACTAGAAAGGATCATGAGGAAGTTTCAAAATGAAAATAATGCAAATAAAGAAATGGAGAAAAAATCGGCTGACTTTATTCTAGATCATGTTATATCAGCTTATGACACAATTTACAAAATTTACAAAGAAATAACCAGCTGTTATGATAAGGAACATATCAAGAAACTGATCAAAGTTTTGCTTAATGTATATCAAGCAGAGGAAGAAAAAACCACATTGAACATCTTTAAGAGACCTATTTTAGCATTAAATTTGAAGCAAATATTTTTCATTTTTTATGTATTAAATAATTTTAATTTGCACTATGAGATTACTCAACTGTTTAGGTACCTTATGAAAAATAGGAACTTTCGAGGAAAATTCAGGAAAGCAAATTTGAAAAAGGGAGAAAACGACATCAAGTGCAAAGATGAAGAGGAATATCTTCTGTGCAGAAAGATTTTGCACATTTACTGTAACTCGAATTTGTGTATAAATAATTCGGTCCATTTCCCTGCTGCTGAAAAGTGGATGAATAAGCACATGAAGTATTTTTTTTTCTATCGTGACCCTTTGTACATATTCAACCTCCTAATTAAAAAATATACAAGAAGAAAAATTCATGACAAAGGGAGCAACATATGTACCATCAACCATTATGAAGCGACGATGAAAGAGATTTTAGAAAAGATGGAAGACAAGAAAATATTTCACAGTAAAAATAGGAAAAAATTCATTAAAAGTAAAATTTTCAAACGATTTTTTAAGGAACATATATACACTCGCGTAAGTGAAAAGGAGTATACACTAATTTTTTACGGATTAATGAAGTACTTATACAAAAATGAAGAATTACTTTTTACCCCCATGAACCCTGATGCGTATAGAACGCATGGTAATAATGAGAATGTATTCCCAGGAAAATTACTACATAATACAGAGTTTATGTATTTACATTTTTACTTGACTTGGCAAGGTTATCTGAAAGTTCATAAAATGTCCAAGATCAACTTTTTAATGTTTTTGAAAACTTCTTTGCTTATGAATGATATGGAAAGTTTTGAAAATGTACTTTTGGAAAACCAAGATAGGACATCAAAATATGCTATTTTTATTAACTCCCTTTTAAATAATCACATACAACTGTATCATTTTAATATCAGAATGGACATGTTAAGCAAAGATTTAGTTGCACCTGTAGATATGTACCTTGTGCACAAAGGTCAGCTTACCATTTTTAATTTAAATTACTATCAAGTTGTAAAAAGGATACACAATTTTGGAAAATTTAGTACACAATGCAAAGTTATGCTCTTCATCGATTACAGAAAATGGTTCACCAACTTGATAAATTTACATTATCTTTTTAAACTTCCATTTTTACACAATGAAAACTTTTTATCATTCCTTAAGGAAAATCAAATACTTCTAAATGAAGAAAATTTCTGGAAAATTTCTGACCTTGTCATATTTTATGGAAAATGTATGAACAAAAGAAAAAAAATTCTTGAGTTTTTTTCTGAACATAGGAAATGCTTTCACGTTCACAAAAATAAACTTATCAAAGATGCTTTCGTAGTTTCTTTCAAAAATTAAGTCAAACAATATCAGGAAAGGTTACACATATTTTCATGTGCTACTAAGTGTGTGTTTTTTGTGCAAATATGTAGGCTTTTGTCAATATTTTGTCAATACCGCTTTTCAAGTTGTCATTTTTTTTTTTTTTCCCCCCCCCATGTATGTGCCGTGCACACATTAGGCCGATAATTTTATTATATTGTATTATTTTGTTATTTAGTTTTATTATTTGATTTTATTTTGCTATTTAGTTCTAGTTTGTTATTTAATTTTATTATGCTATTTTATTTACTTTTATTTATTTTTTTTTTTTTTTTTCGTTTTGTTCATAATTTTTTTTAACAAAAAGCTAGCTATTTCTTCATTTCTTGCTAGTAATAATTTTTTTTTTTTTTTTTTTTTTTTTTTTAATCCACTTTTTAACTCCACTGTTCAATGAAAATTTGCTTGGATAATTTACACCCTGAAAAACAACATTCAGTTGTAATTGCCTGAACAAGACAGGTTATATTCTTGCATCAATGTGTAAAAAGGGAATATCAATTTGAGGGGATATTTTTTTTTTGGACAACTTTTTTTTTAAGTTTTCTTCATTTAACCTGAAAATGGAATGTAATAGTGCTTTTTTCTTTTTCTCTTAAGGCTTACTTTTTTGGAGGCCTTATGAATGATAGGGGAATGGACAGCTGAACAGGCACAATATATATATATATATATATATATATATATATACATTTTATTATGTTTCACCTCTTGGTAGATTAAAATGGGAGAAGACCTGAATGCTTACAGCATTGATTTTCAGTTGATGACGTGTTTCACGAATGAGAAAAATGTCTTTTTCTTTGCTTTATTACAATTTCAAGTGCTTCTTTATTTTTTTTTATTTTTTTTTTTTTACATTTTCGCGAACCTTTGGCTTGTTCTCTCATTTATGCCTTAACAGTGATAGCACTTTTTCAGTAATATGAGTTACCCCATGCTTGCTTTATGTATATTCTTGCGTTTAAATAGTCTCCCGATTTGTGATCCCTTCTTCCTCTTTTGGGTATTCATAAAAGACTACCTCTGAATTTTAAAAAATCGTGTGTTCCTTTTAAAATGAGCTTAAATAATTAAAACTGAAACATTTGAATGTTCTCCATGTGTACACAAGCATGGGCTTTTTTTTTTTTTTTTTTTTCCTCCCACATGTGCACGTATATATGTGTCTACATATGTGTATATAAATGCACATGCACTTGAATGAATGCATGTGAATCTATATTAGCACATGCACACACTTGCATATTTTCATCTCAATTAAGGTGATGAGGACATGGCAGAAAAAACAAACCAACTGATATTTACACAGACTTAAATCTACAACATGTGAACTATTCTATCACTTAATTTGACAAGGACTAAACGCATTTTTCTTTTTCGTTTTTTTTGTCCTTGACACAATTTTAATAATTACATAAGTGCATGTGCAAAAAAGAAAAGATAAGATCCTGATGAATGTTTAAGGACTGGGGAAAAAAAAAAAAAAAAAAAAAAATCAGCTTTTTCAAAATGTGTAACACTTATGAGATAATTCGTTCAACCCTTCGTGTAAGGTTTTTTTTTTTTTTTTTTTTTTTTTTTTTTTTTTTTTTTTTTTTTTTTTTTTTTTTTTTCATATCACAAGAAACAATTAAATGAACAAAAGTAATTATTTAAAAGCCACTAGATATATTAACTCCTCTCTACGTTTGATGAAATGTGAATGAACCACTTAACAAATTTAATACTTTCAATTAAGACAAGTAAACACAAGTTGTTTAATGTGTAACAAAAAAATCATGTAATATAGCAGGGATAACTTAAAAAAAAAAAAAAAAAAAAAATTTTTTTCTCCTTTTTGGCTCTATGCATTAACGCATGTTTTCCAAATGGAAATATAACCGTTCATTTTTTTAACCTTTTTTTCTCATTTTTGTCTTTTATATATAATATGGGATATTTTCCAATTGCTAAGCATAATTTTTTTATCTTCTTCAATTTGTTTAATTTTTTATTTTTTCCTCTCTTCTACTGTCTTTTTCTTTCTTCCCCACAAACCCTACATTTTGAAAACCATAGCTCCTGAATTTTTCTTTTTTTGCCCAACTATTCCAACTATACCCTTCATTTTAACAAAATTTTTTTGTCTTTTATCACATCATCTCTACGTTTGTCGTAATTTTTTATTCATACGCACGTAGGTACACACATTGTGACTCGTTTATGCATCCTGAAAAAAGACACACACTTATATATATATATATATATATATATATATATGTATATTTGCATATTACATTGTCGCTTAAGTGAACACTGTTTTAAGTTTTTTTTTTTTTTTTTTCACTACTTAATAATTTTATTGTTTTATCTTATTTTATTTCATTTTATATCATTGATGTTTTCTTTCAATGAGAAAAGTATAATTACATATGAACCAGACAAGTGGGAAGATGGTATAATCACCCTTTTACGCAAACATATGGTATGTATATGTGTTAGAACTGTTCATACCTTTATGATTACCTAGTTTTTTATTTTATTTTTTTGAAACAAAGTTGATAAAAATGATGAATGTATGCTAAAATTCATTTGCCTCCTTTTGAACACATTTTGAATTTTTTACGTGTTCTTATATTGGGGAAACTGTGAACCTACTTATCTCACGATTGGCTTTGTGTAATGTGACTTACGAGATGCTTGCGTTAGACATTCTGTGAAAATTTTTACACATTCATGCACGGATGCATGCACATATATATATATATACATACAGAGCGACACATTTATTTATTACTTCGGGAAGACTATATCAAGCTTCTCGCCACCTGTCTTAATTGGAAAATTGGAGATTACTTATAAATTATAGCCTTTAAAAAAGAGGGAAGAGAAATTTTTTTTCTTTTTGTTCACTACTTGGTGATCATTGTAGAATTTGTTAGATGTACAAAAGTGAATTTTTTTTTTTTTTTTTGTTATACAATTTTGATAGTGCAATTTGCATGATAAATTTGGTAAATTTGGTAAATTTTGTTAATATTGTTAATATTGTTAATATTGTTGATATTGTTGATATTGTTGATATTGTTGATATTGTTAATATTGTTGATATTGTTGATATTGTTGATATTTTAAAATTATTTTCCTTTTTATCCTCCCTTTTTTTTTGCGCGCACGGCAAAATGGGATACCTGAAGGGAAGAAACAAAATGAACCTCGCTGTGCGTATTTTTCTTCACTGTGTGCTATCTTACATTCTGTTTCATTTTACGCATGTTGAAGGAAAATCTTTAGTAGAAAACTTAACTTCTAGGGGTGATTTAGACTTGGTCTTACTGTTTGATGTTGGTTTTCAAGAGGGAGTAAAGAAGAACAGGTTGGATGCACTTAATAATGTCGTGGAAGTTGCAAGAAATTTGTTAGTTGAAAATGAACATAAGGTTAGTCTCACATATGTAACTTATGACAGTATGAGTGTGAGAACTCTAGCTATGGGAAAAAGTGGGAAATTTACGGGTTCTGCTTCCTCCAGAAGGGATGATTCGAATGTAAATTTCGAAAATTTTAAGGAAACAGTGATGAAGACAGAAATGGTGAAATCTGTGAGAAGTTCTGAACATCTGAAAGCATTAAACTATGTAGGTTTAAAACATTTTTACAACGCAGATGAAATGTCAACTAAAATGATTATCATGTTTATGAACACAGATGGGATAACAAAAAGAGACATGACGGATCTGAACATTGTTCATTATTTATTAGACAGAAAAAACATAACATTGAATATCATAACAAAAGTGAATCTAAAATCTTACTGTCATTATATACATAAAGTTGGACCCAATACAAATGAGTTACTAAGATGTGTGCTAAAAAATTCCTATTATCATAATTTAATATTAACATATACATTAAAAAAATTTTATGAAGATATCGCAACAAATGCTGTTTGTAGTGAATGGTCTGAATGGTCTGAATGCACCGTTACATGTAATGTTGGTTATCACTTTTGTAAGAGAAATACTTTGAATAATGTAGAAAATAGTAGAGACGGTATGTACAAAAGAAAGGGTAAAAATTGCTCGGAACAGAGAAGCCTTATAATTCAAGAGTGTTTTAATACTAGCTGCGATCATTCTTTAGATGTATGTGATGCAGAAGTAGATTTATCTTTCCTAATTGATGATTCATCAAATATGTCTCAAGAATTTTGGTTAAAATACATTATACAACCTATCAGAAAAATGATTTCTCATTTAAACTTAAGTAAAAAGTTAGTGAATATTTCTATAACTACTTTTTCTAATACCACACATAATTGGATTGACTTTTCTTCTAATTTATCCAGAAATCGTGATGAACTTCTTATATTTCTTGAATATTGGAGATATAATTTAGGAAATACTTCTTCCAAAAATTTAAAAAATGCTTTAAAATATGTACATGAAAATATTCTTAATAGTAATAGTGGAAGGCCCAATGCCCATAAAGTTCTGGTTATTTTTAACACTGGAGAAATACAAAAAGATTATCTACAAGATATTGAAGATGTTATTCATAAAATTAAAATGATTTATTCTGCTGATGTTTATTCTATCTGTCTCAATAACTCTGTAGATGATAATTGTCAGGCCTTAAGTGGAAGAAGTACGAGTAACCCGAATCCGAATAACACTCCTCTGTTCTCTCCTTCTGATTCTCAGTTAACCACGAAATCTTCTTATTCCACTCCAAGCGGTTCTCCTCCTAAAAAACAATTCTTTTACTCTTTTACCAATGTTTCCAATTTCAGAGATGAAATTATGGACATACTGAAGAACATATGCTTCAATGCATCTAATGCCATCCGCATGTCCAGAGCCCGAAGGAAAAGGAATCTCAGAAAACAGAGAGGCGCTGATAAAACGAGCAGTTTGCATGGCCAAGGGGAGGAAGCAGAGGCAGGGGTAGGGGCAGAGTCAGAAGCAGAACCAGAAGCAGAGGCAGAGGTAGAGGTAGAGGCAAATCCAGAAGCAGAGGCAGAGGTAGAGACAGGGGTAGAGGCAGAAGCAGTGGCAGAGGCAGAGGTAGAGGCAGAGGTAGAGGCAGGGGTAGAGGCAGAACCAGAAGCAGAGTCAGAACCAGAGGTAGAGACAGGAATAGAGGCAAAGCCAGAAGCAGGGGTAGAGGCAGAACCAGAAGCAGTGGCAGAGGCAGAACCAGAAGCAGAGTCAGAGGCAGAACCCCGCGTGGCAATTGGAAAGGACGAGAAATTGAAGGACCAACATGAAAGCACGGAAAGAACGATGAAGGGGATAAAAAATGCTGAAAATAAAAAAAAAGGGTTGAAGCGAACAAACTCATTGGATACGTATAAAATGAGAAAAGAAAATAACCACCTGGGATCGAAGAAAAATAGAATAATTCTAAAATCAGTAACGAACTTGGAAGGCAAGGACGATGAGGAAGGGGAGGGAGATGAAGAACCACAATACACGTCACTAAAAAAATATACTTCACAATACAACATAGACGCCCTTCCCTCATATAAAAGTGGAAAAGATAAAAACTTGACACGTAAGTTGTTGAATTTCTTATTTAAAAGAAAAAAATATCGTTTTAAACAACTAGACAATGATAAAAAAAAAAAGATAAAAGACTTTATAAATAATGTAAAAAAATTAGACAACATTTCAGAAAAAGATTATGAAAAAGAAAATCATATAACATCTCAGTTTTATATTTTACTAGATCAAATTTTTAAAAGTGCATCTCCTTTATCTCTGAATGGTGGTGAAGGTGATAATGAGGATGATGGTGATAGTGAGGACCATGACGATTTTGATTCTATAATCCATTATAGCTATGCATCAATTGTGGACGATGAGGACGATTTAGACATGGATAGTACATTGACACATAGCTGGAATTATAAAGATGCACAGCAAATCAAGAAAGATAACATGATCAAAAATGAAAAACAAAATGGTCAAATAAATGAAGATGATAATAATTCACCAACATATATTTCTACTTGGAACCAAAGCCAAAAAGGGGATTTGCAAGAGAATCACATACCGAATGAAAACAAGAAAAATCTTCTAGATGATATTCCAATAGATAATACACTGATGGAAGACGGAGGATTTTTGACAAGTGATGAAAGCAAAATGATGAGAAGGAAGAGATCCATAGTTCAAGAAGAAGGACTAATAAAGGAGCAATTTCAAAACAGTAGTAATTTGACATATGCAGAAAATGGAGATATGACTAGTACAAGTGCAATGCATACTAGGGAAGAGGCATCATCATCGGGCGAAAGCAAGCAAGAAGTGAATGATAAGTTTGTAGAGACATCATTAGGAAAAGTAGAATCGATTGGACATGATGAAAAAAAAAACAAGGTAGAGTTGGTTAACCACAATGATGATGGAATCTGTGTTAATGGATCAGCTGCATCTAACAAAAGGAATTGTCAGAAAAGGTACAAATCCAAGTATGATATTATTCAGCGTTTCAAAAATAGAGACATCCATGTAGATAATAAAACTGGAATTAGCTATGATGAACATGAGTATCATCCATCGTTAGTGGAAAAAGACGGGGGAAAAAAGAATAACCAAATGGAAGAATCTAGAGAATCAAAGAAAGAGAACTCATCCATACATGTCCCAAATGTGGATTTCAAAAAAAATATCAATGAATCTAATGTTTCATGTGGTCAACAACAACAAGATGGGAAAACGCTGCCTGCTTCTACTTCTGCTTCTGCTTCCTACAAGGTCGATGAAAAACTTTCAAAGGTAGAAGTAGAGGACATTGTTGGGGTGAGAACGGATGAACAGACAGAACAAGATACCAAAAAAGATAATAAACTTCTTTCGTTTATCAAGGACGAAATAAATGAAAAATATCTAAATTATACGAATGAGGACATGAATTTTCATGATAATTTTCAAAATACAAAGCTAGGAGATGTGGTGACTATGAATTACCCTGAAGAAGAAGAAGAAGAAGAAGAGGACCTTGAATATAATGATACTAATATATATAAATATTCTGCTTCCTTCGCATTAGCTACTGTTGTTGTCTTAGGCCTTGCGTTCTTATATGTGCGTTATAGAAATGCTAAAAACATAGCAGATATAGTCGACACTAAAGATTTTCCCGTCATTAAAAATGAAAAGGAGGAAATTTTTAGGGAACAAAATGTTTATATATGCCCAAATGGGACATCTTGGCAATAAGCATTTGTTCAAACGGGTTGAAAAAAAAAAAAAAAAAATGGAATTTTTTCATTCCTCACGATATTATTTTACCATTGAGTTTGTTCACAATATTGCCGGGTATGCAGAGACAGGATTTCTGTCTCATACTCATACAAGAGAGAAAAAAAAAAAAAAAAAAACTTTTGTATTTTTTTCTTCCCCTCTTTTCCAAGTACTTTTAATTTGATTTTTTTTTTTTTTTTTTTTTTTTTTTTTTTGTTTTTCTCAACAAGTTTTCACTTTTTTTTGTCTACATAATGCACGTCCCCAAGTGGGAGATGTGTATGTGTCTGTCGAATGTCCAATTGTTAATTACTGTGGACGCATATTCCCATATAGACACACATGCAAAAACATATTCCTTTTTTTATTACATGCATATGCAGATGTGTGATCCGACCCCAAGGGGAACGTAGGTTCATGTTTTTCGAGACACACAGCTTGTGTTTGTCGAAGTGTTCCTTGTCAACTTGATGACTAAACTTTTCTATCCTATCTATTCAGAGGAAGCATCATAAATTCAATTTTAAAAAAAATTCAAAAGTTGGAAGTTTCTCCTCCACCTCTCTTTCACGAAACGTTTATCACGTTTTAAAAGGATGAGGGCTGGGGGGAGAGATATCGGTTATATATTCACACAAAAAAATGGGAGGAAATTGAACAAATATTTAAAAAAAAAGTTGGTTAAACAAATAGCAAAAAAAAAAAAAAAAAAATAAATAAATAAAAAGGGAAATGATTATCATATAAATAAAGAACAAAAAAAAAAAAAAAAAATTAGAAATAGGACGAAACAGTAAAACGACTGGGTTAAAGGTGGGCAAAAAAAAAAAAAAAAAAAAAAGCAAAGGCTCAAAATTGTTCCAGGTAAACCATTACAAATCATTTATTAATTTCTAATTGTATGGGAGGAGTATTCTGTCTTCTTAAGCAATCATGTACAGTAGTTCATAAACTTCCTACTACAGGAAAAGTAACAAGTAATGTTAATGTGAGTGTGACCACTTCACTCGTCTTATGGTGATACCCCTCTCGCAATGTCATAGTACCTCCAATATACTACTCTCGAAAGTTCACAGGTCTTTGTCTTTGTCTTTGTCTATGTAGGGAATGGAGGGGAAGATTTTTTTCCTCCAAAGGGTAAATGCCTTTGAGGATACTCTCTTTCGTAACATAATTTGTTTCCTCTGCTTTTATAACTCTTACGAGGCTTCTGAGAGTTATTATTAGATAGGGGAAGTTTTGTATGGTTTCAAACACTGTAACATTTTTCAGTATTAGTGTTGAACCAACATTGATATATTTCTTATATTCCTTCTCAACCTCTTTATGTATAGAAGCTGGCATCTGTCCCGATGGATCCATTACCACTATGAAATATCCATGAGTTTTGCATCTAATACTTTTAACAATGACTATCATTTTTTCTATCCTGTAATTTGCGAATCGTTTATTTTTCAAAATATTGTGTATATTATATGTATATAAAAAGGATGTGTTCATTGATGTGTTGTTGCTGTTTGGACTGTTCGCATAGCCACTAGAATATTTAGTCATTTGGTTATTCTCTTCAAATCTCCCATTTGCTATATACTTGTGTACATTTATACTTAGATGGAATGGATCCAAAGGAAGGTTCAGTATTTGCAAAGCCTTAATCCAAGAATTGTATTTTATGAATGAAAAGCAGTATATTAATTCTTTCCTTTTTTCAATTTTGTTTTTATGTGATATTTGTGTTGCGCTTGGAGATTTTTTCGATTCCTGAGAAAGCTGTCTCATAAAATTCAACTTTTGTGAAATGTCTCTTAAGTTGGTACTTTCCAAATTTGTGTCATCCAGATTGGTATTTTCCGTGGGAACATTTTTAAAAGAAACAAATTTGGCTGAATTATTTACTATTGCTGGTTTTGAAGTTCTGTCTGTTCTTGTGCACTTCTTCTTATTCGCTCCTTGATTAACACATTCTGTGTTCTTACTGCTTATGGGAAAAGGTGCAGGAACATCCTTTCCTTTTGTACTCATGTCAAGATGTGTACCATAACTAATATATTCACTTGACCCAGTGATATTTTTTTCTTCACACACATGCGAACAAGCACTATTTGTTACATCTTCGCATGCATTAAACTTTTCTATTTTTTTTTTTTCATTTGATTTTACGATATTATTGGCTATTGTTCTTTTTTCCTCTACTACTGCACTATTATAAGTTTCACCTTGATTGACTACCACCTCACAGTATAAGCTAGTTTTTGAAATTTTTTTTTTTTCATTTATGGTGATGTTAATTGGAGTAGCACAATTTGTGCTGCATGGTATTATTTCCTCCCTTTCCTTCTCTTTACAGATGTTTGCATTTTCCGCTACATTAGAAATGTTTTTTTCATGCCCTAAGTTAGTATCAATCTGGGGAAATTTAAAATTTTTCGTTTTCACAAATTCGTGCTTTTGAATTTCTAACGAGGGGGAAATGTAATTTAATGGGTGACTGTTATACCTTTCATTGTTTCCACTACATGTTGCATTATCCGCAGCTCGGGCACCATCCTTGTTCACTAGCACGTTTTCATCATTTTTTCTATTCAAAGCATTCTTGATGTTTAAATTTTTCTTTAACTGTTCATATTTTTTATTTACGGTGTTGCTGCTTTGACTAGCTTCTCCATTTCGAAGGCGCAAAGTTGGTGTGTGTTCAACAGTGCCATGAGAGGTACTCTGATTCTTGGCCTTATAGTTTAAAACCCCGAACTTACTATTTGTGTTTTTAAAAAAATTGTTCAAGTTTCCTATATTGCGAATGTGGAAATTGAACACAGACGTGGGTAAAAAATCTCTATGTTTTTCATTTGTTATTCCGCTGTTCTTGTTGTGATGTAGCTCCTGCTTCCTACTTTTGACATCATTTTTTTTTGTGCAGTCATCATCACTTTCGTCTAACAGACATGACAAATTTTCATCGAGCATAATTTCGGTTATGTGAAACCCATAGAATAATTTTAACAGAAAAAAAAAAAAAAAAAAAAAAAAAAAAAAAAAAAAATAAAAGAAAAAAAAAAAAAAAAAAAAAAAAAAAGTATAAAAGACAAGAAAAATTTTCAACGAGCAAAAATTCGGTTATGTGAAACCCATAAAAAAATTTTAAAAAAAAAAAAAAAAAAAAAAAAAAAAAAAAAATACAACATGAACAGGGTCAGGTGTAAAAATTACAGATTATAACCACAAATGCGAGCAAACAGCTGTAGAAATTGGCTAGCTTTTTTTTTTTTTTTTTTTTTATTTCATGTTCAGCTCATTTTGGAAATGCAACCATGGATATTCTCTGACAGTTTTGAAGAGTTAGGAAATGTGGCAAATTAGGAAATGTGGCAAATTAGGAAATGTGGCAAATTAGGAAATGTGGCAAATATAGAAAATATGGCAAATGTAGCAAATGCGGGAGAGAAAAAAAGCGTGCTTAAGCGTGTAAATGTGAAAAAAAATACTTGCAGATAAGCCGAAAAAAAATAATAAAAACAATTTGGCACGCAAAAACACTGATACAAAACGGTACTACAAAAAAAAAAAAAAAAAAAAAAAAAAAAAAAAAAAAGAAAAAAAAAAAAAAAAAAAAAAAAAAAAAAAAAAAAAAAAAAAAAAAAAAAAAAAAAAAAAAAAAAAAAAAAAAAAAAAAAAAAAAAAAAAAAATAAGGAAAAAAAAAAAAAAAAGGAAAAAAATAAAAAAAAAAAAAAAAAAAAAAAAAAAAAGAGTTATGTTGCTTCCTAAAATTGGAGAAATACAATTTTGTATATCCTTGTAATATTTACATATTATGTATATATGTATGTTTATACACATTTTTTGGAAAAAAAAAAAAAAAAAAAAAAAGAAACCTTCTGCGTTGGTTATTATAGCTACTAAAACATGTTGCACACATACCAAATGTATAACCATAGAAGAATATAATCCCATGTATATACACAAAAATATTCGATTTTGTAAATAATAAAAATTTATTTTCCTCGTTGGAAAGACAAAGAATGCTCAGAATGATGCAATTATGCAAAAAAAAAAAAAAAAAAAATACAATTCAAACGATTGAAAGCATACTAAAAGTTTGTGAAAAAAAAAAAAAAAAAAGTACAGTAACCTTGCATGCGTTCCTAGGTTTGTACCTAGGGAGATATGCTAGCCGATAGGTCAATCCACACACACAAAATCCTAGGACTAGAAAAAATCTCCATCCAAATTAGCGTATGGAAAAATTAATATTATCTATTAACCATGATGAGTGTTGTACTTTTTATCATAAACTAGTCTGAGAAAATATATAAATTTCTCAATGTCAACAACACAATCAATAGAACTTGCTTTAATTTCCGTTGCCTGACTTATATGATTTTCCAGTTTTTTTAATATTTCTTTTTTTTTTTTTAAATTATTTTTACTTCCGTAAGCAGATTCATTTGCATTTCCTGAAAAGTCTGGAAAAAAAAATCGGTAAAAAATAGAATTTTCAGGGGTTTTTACAAAAGCTGGTTTTTCTTTCGCATTCTTTTTGTCAATCTTCGTGGCTAGCAATGCTACGGGTATTTCTCCTTTTAAAATTTTATCACCCTTTTTGGTTCCTCTCTTTTTGACATGTCCCTTTTCGATGTCTGAATTGCTATCCGAATTGTCCTCTGAACCAAATGGGTCATCATCACGATCATTTTCACACCAATCAACATAACCATTACTGTATTTCTCACAATGCAGATTAACGCAACCATTCGTGTAATACTCTCCACCAAGCGCACAATTAGGATTATTGTTTTTTTTTTTTTTTTTGTTTTTTTTTTCAAAATTTGGATAATTGCCCACATGATCTCTCAAATCATAGTAATTCTTTTTTATCCCTACTCTTGGTTCTTCTACCAGCAACTTCTTATTGGTTTCATGACTATTGAAAAAGTTCCAGAATTTATTTCGACCTCGTTTGGCAGAACAAAATACATCTGATGGTGGGTTTGTATGTTCATATAATTCATACAGCCATTTGACCAAATTGTGATAAGACTTGTTATTTGATGAATCATAAACTAGCAGAATTCCATCGTGCTTTTCATAAAAAATATTTCTCGTACATGAATAGGTTTGAATTCCTCCAATTTCTAAAAATTCCACAAGTAGTGCATCGTTATGGTAATCAGTATTTTCTGTATTTCCATTTGAACGATGCATAGTAACTACATCAGGTAAATACTCTCCTGTTTTTCTTATATTGAGAGGGATATATTTTTCAAATTTGTTATTGTTATATTCATTATTTCTGTGCCACAAGAAGGTGAAAACTTCAAAACCGTATGTATATTTGTGTCTTTCTTCAAAAAAGAAATTTTCCCCTCTCATTTTACTTTCAATAAATTCTAGAAAATTTCTTTTAGCTTGAAAAAACATAGATTCTACTAACGCTTGCACATTTTGATTTTTACAATTATTCTCTGCTAAATCCTTTGCACTTATAAATTTTTTATTCTTCTCTTCTTCATCTATATGTACATAATAATCAAAAAAATTTATCGGATATATTTCAGAATATCTTTCTGTTATCAATTTCAGGAATGAACTTTTTCCTACACCTACATCTCCCAATACCAAAATTTTTAAACTCTCCATTTTTTTTTTTTTTTTTTTTTTTTTTTTTTTTAATGCATCAAATGTGTCGTTATAATACTTTTGTTTTTACCCCAACCCTCCTGTTCCCACCAACAACTTGTTCTTTTTTTTTTTTTTTTTTTTTTTTTTTTTGCAAATACTTTTGTGCTTGGAAGAAAAGGCTGTGGCTTTGAAATTTTATACGCATAATTTTGCAACGTGTCAGTGATATTTCCTCACGTTCGAAAAAAAAAAAAAAAAAAAAGTAAAAAATAAAATAAAAAGAAGAACAATTTGGAGAAGGGTCGAAATAAGAAGGATGTGTTGATGGAAGGTAGGGTACTTTGGACAAACGGGGAAAAGAAAGAAAAATACAGCAAAGGAAAGTAAAAAAGAATGATTTAAAAACTATAACTGGATTATGTCAATTCGATATAGAAATGAAATCTTTATTGGAGGAGAACCATTAGCAACGGCTTTCATCATATGTTGGGGTTTGAAAAAATCTTCTTCATTTAGGAACTTTTCTCGTAAAGCTTTTATATCCTCTGGTCTTGTACCGATTACTCTGGCTCTTTTTTTTTTTTTTTTTTTTTTTTGGCCTTTCGCAGTTCTCTCGTTTTTTCTCCATATACACTACGAATGGAAATGGGTTCATTTTGAAGAGGTCATCATTAGTGCCACAGCTGTGGTGATACAAGCACACACACACACACACATATACATACAAGTGTGTGTTATATGTATATGTGCATAAACAGATACCTTTGATACAGTGATGCATTGATACACTGACACATACATAATATGTGTGAGAGGTTTCCTGTTTTCACACCAGCTAAGGTGTGGTCACTCTTCCCCTCCCCCTCTCTCTCCCATTCCTACTCTTAATACATTTTCTCTAATTTTTTTTTGTCTCTTCACCTTTCTTTGAAGAAGCATTCCTAAGGCTCTTTCCATTTCATCCAAAAATTACTTGCTCCACTGTTGAGCTCAGATATTCTTCCCTCCAAGTGAGAGAAACTGGGGAAAATATTTTCATACAATTTGTTCAGGATATGTTCATAAAAACATGAAACACTGCTTTAAAACGTTGCCCAGGTTAAAGAAGATTCACGGATGGAGGTACGGTCGCAAGGGCTCCCGAATTGAATTAACATTTCATTTCACTTGACTTTACATCAGATCGGATCGGATAACATCACATCATTTCACATTGCTTCATATCACTTCATATCACTTCACATCGCTTCATATCACTTCACATCGCTTCATATCACTTCACATCGCTTCATATCACTTCACATCGCTTCATATCACTTCACATCGCTTCATATCACTTCACATCACTTCATATCACTTCACATCGCTTCACATCACTTCAGTTCAATTTTTTTTTTTTTTCTGCTTAAAAGGAATATCTCTCTCGCACACAATTTTTAACAAAATGGTGAATGAAAATGCAGCACTGCTGTCAGTGTACATATTAATTACCTATACACACGCACCTGCACCTACATGTGCATGCACATATATGTACACACCCAGCTGCACTCGCTCCTTATGCACACTGAAATCTGTGAAAAGTTTGTTTTCAGTGTGGAATGTAAAGTCTGTGTGTTTTATATTCCCTATGAGGGGTAACGTGCTAGAGAGAAAAAAAAAAAAAAAATCCATTAATAAAATAAAGAAATAAGCAAATCGTTTATTACACGAATGAAGAGATACGAGGGGATGGGTGGAGTCTTAATTTACGTTAAATTGTTTTACCCAGTGTGCAAAATTGGATATTTAAAAAAAAAAAATAAAATAAAAAAAAAAGTAACACGCATGCGTGGGCCTATGGATGTACCCATGGATGTTTACGCATTCACACATACACATTTTTCTCGTGCTCACAATGAATTACTGCTTCGAGTTTGAGGAACCAATCCATATCCACCATGTATATCCCTTTCTTATAAGTCCGACCCAAGGTACTTGGAGATGTGATTTGGAAATTAATCCATAGGTATAAGGAACATTTTTTTTCTCGAACGTTTGCATTCGCATAAATGTAAAAAAAAAAAAAAAAAATATGTTAACTAAAGTAACGGTATAAAAACACAAGTAATAGAACGTGATAGAAGAACCATATCCTGGATATCACTACATTTGAATAGTGTTCACAATCCAGCATTCAGCAATTTTCACCTTTCAGTTTCTCACTACCTCTGGGGGTTGTGATGGAGAAAAAGAAAAGAGAAAAGAACATACACAGATGAAAACAAAATAAAAGCTGTCCCCTTACATGCTTGCTTGTGCCTTTTTTCCAACTCAACAGAGCAAAATAGGCAAAAAAAAAAAAAAAAAAAAAAAAAGGGAAAAGGATAACGGTTCATGAAAATTAATTATTTTAATATGGTATATATATATATATATATATATATGTTGCACTTCCAGCAAAAGGTAGATAATTTTTCCAGGGAATTAAATCACATTTTATACATACATATGTAAGTAAGCAAGTAGGTAAACATGAAAGTAGGTAAGCATGCAAGTAGTTTTTTTTTTTTTTTTTTTTTTCTTTTCTTTTTTCTACAAGTTTGATGTAACATGTATGAAGTTTCCTCCTTTTTTCTAATATGGTTGAAGTATAAATGTGCCTATGTAAGATAAATCCTTTTGCATACTCATGGGAGAGATGTGAAGAGGAAAGAGCAAAATAAAAAAAAAAAAAGAGGAGAGATAAAAAAAAAAAAAAAAAAAAGAAAAAAAAAAAAAAAAAAAAAAAAAAAAAAAAAAAAAAAAAAAAAAAAAAAAAAAAAAAAAGGAGAAAAAAAAAAAAAAAAAAAAAAAAGGGAAGAAAAAAGAGAAGAAAGAAGAGAAGAAAAAAGAGAAGTAAAAGAAAAAAAGAGTGCTATTAGCAAAAGATCGAAATCGGAAGTGAAACTGTACGCAAAAAAAAACAAGTACAAAATAAACGAAAGCGCAAAAGGTGTAATTTTTTTTTATTTTATGAGAAGAGCAAAATCTCTTAATTTGTTTACAGCTAACTTTGGTATTACATGTACATGCATATATATATGTATATATGCATATATATATATGTATATATGCATATATATATATATATATATATATATATATATATATATATTTTTTTTTTTTTTTTTTTTTCCACGTTTCACATATAACAAACTAGTACTTTTGAACACCCCTCCTTAAATTGAATTCATTTGTATTTAGAAATTTCATCAACACGGTGCTATTTTATTTATTTTTTTTCCACTTTTCAAAAAAGTATAAGTAACATATGATCCCCTCAGTGTGTAAAAGTACAAACAACGCATAGGTTGTAAAGAAGCCCCTTGTCATAGATAACTCCCTCGGTTATTCATGTCTATTTCACACACGTCTTAACACGTGGTATATCTTTTGTTTTGATGTAGGAATCGAAAAGGTAGATTGGGACAAGATATTGGTTTTTTGTCACCAAACGATAAGTGCAAAAGGAAAAGAAAACGAGTTACAACACGGGAGTGCAAAGAGGTTCGAAAAGAGAGATAGAGACAGTGATTGAGATTAAGGAATAGAAAAGGAAGGAGCCAACTCCTTAGGATGGAAGAGGAACTCTCAGTCCCCAACCCTCTTTAGTCAACCAAGTGATATAAAAAAGATATATATTCAATCATTTATCAGACATACACAGAAAAAGAAACAGCAGATTGCAAGCTCCTGAGAGAATCTTATTCGAACCAAAAAAAAAAAAAAAAAAAAAGGAAAGAAATCAACATAGAGAGCCACAAATAGAATTGTAGAATAAAGAGAAAAAAAAAAAAAAAAAAAAAAAAAAAAAATGTTAAGAGTGAAGAATATATTTTGCAAACACAAGAATGGTGCCAGGTTTGCTGAAACAACATGCATCCCATATAATCAGAATTGCAACATTGATGGTGGTGAGGGAACCAGAAATGTTCGAGGCTCACGTAGGGTAAGCACTGCAACTAGTGTCACCTGTATTAGTGGATGTAGAGGCATTGACAACATTGGAATCATTGGTAGTGGTGCACGAATCTCTAATCGAATTCGAAACGTGAGGGGAATGAGTGGAACTGCGGGAGAATTGCAGGGAGAGATCTATGACACAGTGATTATAGGAGGAGGTGTGACCGGTACAGGGTTGCTTTTCTTGCTGTCTAAATTCACAAATTTAAAAAAGTTAGCGATATTAGAAAGAAGAAGTGATTTTGCACTGGTGGCATCTCACGGGAAAAATAATAGTCAAACCATACACTGTGGAGATATAGAAACGAATTATTCATTTGAAAAAGCAAAGTTCATAAAAAGATATGCAGATTTGTTGAGAAATTATTTAGGAAAATTACCCTCAGATAAAAGAGATGATATATCAAGTATTACACAAAAAATGGTTTTAGGAGTGGGAGAAAAAGAATGTGAATTTTTAGAACAGAGGTATCCAATGTTTAAAAAATTATTTAAATCCATGAAGTTGTATAATAAGAATGATATACATAAAGTGGAACCCAAAGTTGCGTTAAAAAATTCGCATACCTTGAGAGATGAAGCATTATCAGCTTTGTATATGCCACCAGAATTAACAACATGTGATTTTCAGAAACTTTCAAGAAGTTTCATAGAATGTGCAAATAGTATGAACCATAGTAGTACAAAAAAAGTTTCTGTACATCTAGACACAGAAGTAAATAATATCGAAGAAATAAATGAATCACTGTACAAAATATATACAAATAGAGGAACTATTAAATCTCGTTTTGTAGTTGTATGTGCATGTGGACATTCCTTAATGATTGCACAAAAAATGAATTATGGATTAGAATATAGCTGTTTACCAGTAGCTGGAAGTTTTTATTTTTCTGGAAATATTTTAAATGGAAAAGTATACACAATTCAGAATCCAGCTTTACCATTTGCAGCAGTTCATGGTGATCCTGATATTATTGAGAGAGGAAAAACTCGATTTGGACCTACTGCTTTACCACTACCATTACTTGAGAGAGATAATATGAACACATTATTAGATTTTTTAAAAGTTTGGAATCCAGATTTTAACTTATTTCATGTATATTTTAACCTGTTTAAAGATATGACAATGCTGAAATATGTCTGTAGAAATTTCCTATTTGAAATTCCAATTCTAAATAAATATTTATTTCTCAAAGATGTAAGAAAAATTATACCCACCTTAACCACTAGAGATTTGTCATACTGTGTCGGTTATGGTGGTGTTAGACCACAACTCATAAATAAAAAAACAAAAAAACTTATTTTAGGAGAGGGAAAAATTGATTCAGGAAAAAACATTATTTTTAATATCACTCCATCACCTGGTGCTACCACCTGCTTAGGTAATGGAGAGTATGACATGAATACCATATGTGAACGCTTAAATGCAGAGATAAACAAAAAACAGGTAAAGAAGTTTCTTTATGAGGGAGAATATCCCGTTGATTATTTATGAGGGAATATATATGCCACCTAGACGACTAGCGGTGCACACGGTGCTTGGAATGGGTGTGCAAAGACGTCAGGTAGTTCAGACCAAACAGAAGAAAAAATGCAGGAAAATGCAGGAAAAATGAAGAAAAATGAAGAAAAATGAAGAAAAATGAAGAAAAAATGATGGAAAAATGAAGAAAAAATGCAGGAAAAATGAAGAAAAATGAAGAAAAAATGATGGAAAAATGAAGAAAAAATGCAGGAAATATGAAGAAAAATGAAGAAAAAATGATGGAAAATATGAAGAAAAAAATTAAGGCAAAAATAAGGGCATAAATTCAGGCAAAAATGATGGAACCTTATTTCCTCGCCCCCGTCTTATTATCGCCCACGAGTCCATCCCTCATCACACTTTTTCCAATTTTTTCTTAATCAAATTTTTTTTGGAGAAAAATGTAACTTCTGGATGATACCTTTTATACTGCTGTTTTATTTTACTTTATTTTTATTATTTTTTTTTTTTTTTTTTTTTTTTTTTTTTTCACCCTTTAAATATGACACATCTTTTTTTTAATTTCCAGCTCGCTTTAGAAAAGTTTTCTCGTTCACATTTTCCCTACTGTGTATGTGGTGTTATACGTAATAAGTTTCTCATTTTTGCTGCTTATGAGAAAATATTAATGTATTTGCTTCCTATGAGATAATATTAAACGTCTGCCACCTCTTTTGAGAACACATTAATGTTTTTCCTTTTTTTTGTTTTTTAACTCATTTCGACAACTCTTCTCAAAAAACTGTATGTAACCATTAGCATTTTCCAACCCAGTTGCATTGCTGCCATTCTTTTTTTATCCAAGTTTTTTTTTTTTTTTTTTTTTTTTTAAGAATGAATATCCTACATTTATTACCTCACAATATGTAGTTGTGAATGGCATGGAAGCCACTTATTTGTCTCTCACCCGTTTTCCATTTCTCTATAACACCAGTAGTATATATATTAAACGTGAGTGTGGTAGCACATGCAGCACTGTCACAGTGGAAAAAGGCAGCAGATCGAACACGAGATAAAAAAGTAAATATAAAAAATTGGTTAATGGGTCCCTGTCATTGGGTGCCTATTTTTTTTTTTTTTTTTTTTTTTTTCTGTCTAGGTGCATATAAGTTATATATGCCTACAAAATGGAAGAATCTTAACTTCCAAAAGGAATAAAATCAAAAAGTGCATACACGATTATATGGTAGCAGATCCACTTTATGTGTACGTGACAAGGGAGAGAGTTATAGAAATTTACATACATATATGTATATGTATATATATATATATATATATATATATTAACTCCCAAATGAGAATGTTATTTGTTAATTCTGGAGAAATAACTATGCTTTTATGGAAAATAGACTATTCACACGAATGCTTTCCCAAACATGTGTGTGGCTTGGACACGTGTACATGGAAGCTGTCCTCCCCATCAGTTTTGTTATGCATGCATATGTGCGATATGTGTCTCGTTCATATTTTTGCAACTTCTCACATGTAAAAAAAAAAGAGAGTAGATATCTTTTCATTACATTTCATTCTCTCCCCATTCTGTCTTAATGTATATCATTTCTTTTATTCTACTATTCGTGAGAAAAAACATTTGTGTAGGCATCATATCCCAGACACGTAATACCTTTGCTGAACTTTGTAAAAAATATATGATGCATGGAATTATGTAGCTTGGAGAATGTAAATATGTAAACATTTTTACAAAAATGTATTAATATTTATCATTTCACAGGAGGGTAATTATGCATTGCATATTTTATATAACACTGTTGCATTCGCTAGATAGCTATGTGAGTTAGGCGATAAGAGGGTGAGAAAAAAAAAAAAAAAAAAAAAAAAAGGTCTATTCTGTATAAAAAAGGTGTTTTTTCACCCTTCTATTTCCTATGTTAAAACCAATTTTTCACATTTTCGAGTGTATGCATTTGAGAATTTTATTTCTATTACTTCTTCATCCAATTTTACACACACAGGAAAAAGTGAAAGATTCCACTTTTTTGTGCACAATCCCGAATGAAATGTATTTAACCTGAACGTACATAATTTTTTTGTGCAGACTTTATATTTCTTCATGGGCTTAGGCTCAGCAATAAGAAAATCACACCTAGCGTGAGAAATATGCAACTGTCACAATGTGATGGTAAAAATAAAGAACGAAATCATGAAACGATGAAACGATGAAACGGTGAAGCAAAAATAAAAAAAGGAAAATAGAACAAGCATATCTCTATTCTCACATGCAGAAAAAGAGACATAGGTTACAATTCTTTATCAAGGTTTTATAGCATAGGTCATTTTGGGTTTACATCAACATGCCTGTCAATTATAAACTGCCACAATGGAAGAATTCCAAGGACGAAAAATGAACATATGGGATAGGCTTAAAAAAAAAAAAAAAAAGGGGAAGTTAAAATGAAACATAAGTACAAGCACAAACATTGGCATCGGAAGAAAAAAAAAAAAAAAAAAAAAAAAAAAAAAAAAAAATTTAAAAAAAAAAAAAATAAAAAAATAAAAAAAAAAAAAAAAAAAAAAAAAAAAAAAAAAAAAACTTTTCACCACTACTCTGCTTAATGATTTAAAAAAAAAAAAAAAAAAAAAAAAAAAAAAAAAAAAGCTTCCATTTGGATTTCGAATAAGCAAAGCAGGAATAAAGATCTAGAGGACAGAGGGATATATTTTACTGCTATGTCAATTTTTTAATTTTTGGAAAAAAAAAAGAGAAAAGTGGTATTGATAAGCAGTATTGATAAGCAGTATTGATAAGCAGTATTGATAAGCAGTATTGATAAGCAGTATTGATAAGTAGTACTGACAAGCAGTACTGACAAGCAGTACTCATAAGCAGTACTCATAAGCAGTACTCATAAGCAGTACTCATAAGCAGTACTCATAAGCAGTACCAAAGAGGAGTACCAAAAAATAGCACCCTTTTCTCCGAATTGAATGAAAAAGGAACACGCTGTTCATACAGGTTGGTCACAGGAATTATATTCTTTACTAGATGAGTGGGAAAACGTGAAAGACAAATTAATGTCTAGTTTTGATATGTGCTTAATCCGTATAAGGATTGGAAAAAAAGGGCTTTGGGGTCAGCTAACAGAATAACTGATAGAAAATAGGAGCTAGCCGAACCGAATCGGCGTGGGGGAGAAACACACAGCGAAAGACCTGCTTCTTTTTTTCATCATGTTCTCAAAGAGAAAAGTCGTTAAGAAAAATATACGTAAAAATTCAGGGAACCAAGAAGATCCCATTGAAAATAATTATGATGATTCTAAATCGAACGGGCTGACCGAGAAGGAAAATCAAAATGCCAATCGAGAGTCAACAATTTGTGGTAGAATAATCCAAGGAAATGTTCAAAGTAATGTGTCAGTACACGACCATTTGAAAGTGCTAGTAAATCAAAAGGAAGAAGGAACTCCGTGTCAACCATTATATAATGTAAAAAAGGGGAATGAGGAATTGGAAAATGCACAAAAAATAAGTAAAGAAAATGGAAATGCTTTTGCCCGATATGAGAATAACAAAAATGAGAAGAATAATGAATATGTCAAGTCTCCAATTGAAGAAATATTCGAAACAGATATAATCACTTCTTCATCTGTGGGAGAAGAAGTAGCACGACATTCACAATCTGTATCAAGTGAAAAACCAGTTAAAGAAATTTCGACAAAAAAGGTAAATATTACTAGAAGAGAAAAGAAAAAAAAAGAAGAAACTGAAAAAGTTAATAAAATGAACACGAGTTTTCACATTTACAGTGAGGAAGATGAAGACGACTGTTATATAGCTATCAAAAAGGGAGGAAAGCGCTTTCGCAAAAGTGTTCAGGATATTTCTAACGTATTTGATGATTCTGATATTACAAGCACACCTGCTGGAGTAGATGTGGGTTCAAATAATAATGAAGCAAAGGTTCCACACACCCCATATGAATCAACACGTGCGTTTCTCATTCAGAAATATGGAGTGGACCTTTCTGGAATGGACCTTTATGAAGACGGTGCGAATAGGGAAAAAGGAGACAGAGAAGGGGACAGAGACAGAGACTGGGACAGAGATGAAGCTCATCTTAGTGGTGAGAAGGATGGTACTACAAATGATAATAAAGGAAAGCCAAATGTATATAAACATGATAAACAAATTTGTGAAGCATTTCTAATGGAGCAAAAGAACATTCCACTTGAAGGAAGTGAGGAGAAACCTTATTCAAGTTCATATTGTGTAGTCGAGAAATGTTATTCTAATGATCCCCAGAACAAGAGGAGTTGTTTATACCAACATAGTGAAAACATTGAACCAGATGCACAAGTATGGATGAAGAAAACGGATTCCAATTATGCACATCTGAGTGCCCATTTTGCAGACGAGTTTATTAACAGGGGTTATGAGGAGTACTGTGAGGATGATCAGTATCAAGACGAAGGAGAAAAAAGAATAATCGAAACGATCAAATTGAAGAAGCAAATTCTGCGTAAAAAAAAACAAATTGGTGGCAACTATTGGGAAGGATTCATGGAGGAGCAGCAGCAGTACAAGCAGGACGAGAAAGAAGGAGGTGAGGAGTATGCTGAGCTTACACCCCACTCAAGAATAAAAAGACACAATTTCTACAAGAAAAACCAAGTGGATAACCCAGATTTAGACAACCCGATGAGTGAAGATGATTTTGAAGTAGATGATGTTTACAATTATGAAACCATTAACGAGATGAAGAAGAGACTTATCATAAAAAAAAATAGAAACAATGAGGTTAATACTTTTTATGACATCTCAGAAGATGAAACAAATTCGTTGGATCCAAATAAAAATGACATGGCCATTTCATATATGAATCGAGTTCACGAGGATGAAAAAATCAAAAAAATTGTAGACACCCAAATGTATGAACAATTTAAGAAGCAAAGGAAAAAATACCAAGCTATATTTTCTTCTCATGAAAATGAAAATCTCAATTCTGATGATCAAGTAGACGTAGAAAAACATTCAACTGATGAGTCTCTCATGTGTACCCATACTACAGGTGACATTATTGATACACATAAATGGATTAACCCCATGTCTCATAAAATCCAGGGAATGGACGACAAGATGAATGCTACTAAACAATTGCGAATTGATGATGGGCATAAGGTAAGAAGGAAAGAAGTGAGTGCTGAAAATTTTGTACCGAGAAATGGCAAAATGGGCGAGAAGCTAATGGATGACCTTAGCGGCAGGAGCGGTGGTGGGAGCGGGTTCAACAGAACTAGCGAAAGTGGTGAGGAGAACCAAATGAAGCATGCTGCTGACAGTGATGACAGTCTGGGCAGATGCAATGACGAGTCGTACGAGAAGGAAAACAAAACTCTGTTTGAGAAGATTTCAAATGTGTTCGAAAGGAATGGAGTATGTAACACTGAAATTGTTAACATGTATGAACACATACAAGATTTGTTTGATGAATATAAATACAGGATTGACGAATCAGGGCACATGAGAAATATGGAAAATTTAAATAAGAAAGAATATAAGGAATTGAAAAATGTAGAAAGAGAAAAAAAGAAGGAAATTGTTACGAGTATAAGTTCTCTCATGTTCTTACATAATTTAATGAACCTTATCCAAAAAAAATCAGAAATTTTAGATAATGCTTTAGATGTTTCACATGAGTTAGATATAACATTTTACATTATTTATCGAAATCTAAAGCTATATTTGTACAAAGAATATTATGAAAATTATAAATTGACATTTATAAATGATTATATTTATAATTCTAGGTTTTACAAGAACAAGAAGTTGGATGATAAGAATGCGCAGCTAGCTTTTCTCATACAGGAAAAAGTCGTTCAAAATTGTGAATATGTTAATAACGAAGCACTCTTTAATGAACACATTGTCAACCAGGTGAACGACCCCTTGGGGTTCAATGACACCTATGTCCACTACATGTTCGATGGATTCTCTAGCAATTACTCCTCAGATTCTTCCGCATCCGTCTTCTGCAAACGGGATCAAGTGGGAATAGCAGCAGATATGGAGAACGGCGTAGATGTAGAAACCGCACTAGATGTAGGCACCGCGGATGAATCTGGAAAGATCCGAACGAACGGCTTTGGTAAGAAGAAGGAAAACGTCGCTCCAATTGTAAGTGCAGAAAAGGAAAAGAGAAAATTAGACAAAAGGAAATACTTCCAAACAGCCAAAATGAAAGAGCTAAAAAGGAAGTTTCTGATAGCAATTATGACAATTTTTAAAGATGTCAGTACATATTTTTTAAATTTTAAAAATGCGATAAAATATTTTTATCTCTTAAAATTGTATAATTATGATTTTTATGTAAGGAATAATTGTATTTCGTTGTTTGATTATATTCTCTTCTTCTTTGTAAAATGTGAATTGATCTTTTGGGATCCACTTTACCAATTTTATATGACGAAAAGAGAGAAAATGAAATTGATTTCTATATTTGAAAAGCATTTGAATGTCAAACATCTGGAGGAAGAAGATACACAAAAGAAATTTATTGACCTTTACCAAAATCATGATTTTGTTAATGCATATAACAATCTTCGTGAGAGTCAAATTCCCCCGTCTTCCAACTCGTCATGTGGAGATAACGATACATGTTCATCCATAGAAACCTCGCACGGCAACCTAATGAATGAGAGTGATGAGGAATGCTACATACACTCTTCTGAATCAGAGGATACATTTTCTTTTACTAGCTCCAGTTGTGCCGAAGAGGAGGAAGAGAGGCTAGGAGAACGGGAAAAAAAAAATGTTCAAAATGGTGTGCAGAATGGAGTGCAAAATGGAGCGCAGAATGGTGTGCAAAATGGTGATCAAAATGGAGCGCAGAATGGAATGCAGAATGGTGTACGAGGTGAAGATGTGCCAATGGGAAAAGGGGTAGAGAGGGAAAAGGAAGAAAAGGTGTGCGCGCGTGGGATTTTTAAAACCACGGGTTTGAAGAAAAAAAAATACAAATTTATGAAAAAAAGGTTTCACAACAATCCCAGCGTAAAAAGTTTCGAATGGTACAAATTTATGGATGAGGTGATGTTTATTTATCAAGTTGAGGAAGAAAAGGAAATTATACAAAAGTTGTATCTACACATTTTTAATAAGAAGGTGCATGAATTAGTGGAGTTCTGGAATCCTTTATCTCTAAAACAGAGTTACAATTTATGCGTAATATTGGCTGAGTATGTATTGTATAATGATAATCGAAAACAGTTGATTGATAAATTGGTAGAAAAGATAAACACTTGTATATACACATTTTTAGAAGGATATAAAAATATAAGTAGTCAAAAAAAAAAAAATATCTTTCTAATGAGATGTTTAAAAATATTAAAAAGTGTAAAAGGTATCATTTATTTGCTTCACGATAATGTCTTCTACGATGTTGTGAAAAAAATATTTTACAATTTTGTACTCACCAATTATTATTATTTAAGCAAATTACACAATTTAATTGTATCATCGGTTATTCATATAATACTCTCCTTAAATATTCCAAAGGAAAGCAAATTTTTTCAAGACATTTCAAATTTGTTGAGTAAAATTACTTCTTCACTCAATTCAGGCGATTTTGACAATGAAAGGTTTAAAGTGGAAAATTAACTACACGGTGGTGTGCATATAATTTCAGTTCTCTATTTGGCTTTTTTAGGTGTGTGCTGTGACAATTTCTCCCAACTTTTACTCACAATTAGTTGTCGTTTCGCCTTTACTCGCGTCACATTTGGGCTAAATTGGCCTTAATTGGCGTTATATTTGTGTTTAATTTTTGCTTCATTTTTGCCTATTTTTGCTTCATTTTTGCCTATTTTTGCTTCATTTTTGCCTATTTTTGCCTCATTTTTGCCTCATTTTTGCCTCATTTTTGCCTCATTTTTGCCTCATTTTTGCCTCATGTGTGTGCTATTTGTACCCCCGCTTGTTTAAGTCATCCGAGTGAGAAATCATTTTTATCACCAAATAAATAATTTCATCTACTTGCGACGTTAATTATCACAGCTGACTAGTGTCAAAAAGATATATATATATATATATTCTTTTTTTATTTCTGGTTTCAGACACGCCCCGTTATGCTAATATATATATATATATATATATATATACATATACAGAATGCATGCACTTTTTTTTTTTTTTTTTTTTTTTTTACTCTCTTTTTTTAGTATCACCATTAACCTCTTACGGTGAAGAAAAAAAAAAAAAAAAAACATCTTACAACTTATGTCCCATCTTTAACAACATTCTTGTTTTTTTCTTTTCCTTGCATCACCCATTTTGCAACACTTCTTCATATATCACTTTTAAGAATAGTGTCTTTTCTCACTATTTCTACATATATGATGCTTAGATTTACTTGTTAATTTTATTTTTAATTTTTTTTTTTTTTTTTTTTTATTTCATGCTGACATGGTCATAATGTTTTTCAAACAAGGGGCAAAAAAAAAAAAAAAAAAAAAAAAAAAAAAAAAAAAATTATACCTTGGTAATAAATTTAAATATGTACGTGCATATATAAATTTTTTTTTATTTGTCTACGTGGCTATATATGGGTGGTAAAAAAAAAAAAAAAAAATTAATAAACATGCACAAAATTGGCCCCAATTGTGCACACAATTAGACGTGAACATACATAAAATTAACACGAATTAGCATTAACAAGGACATAAAATGCAAAAATTAAAAGCGCAAAAAAAAGGGATGAATATATCGAAAAGACAAAATACAAAGTCACATGCTCAGTGTGTGTGGGTGGGGGGCTTACCGCACGTACACAAAAAGGTGCCGAGGTTATTCTTGCACATAATATGTATACATGTAAATTAATTTTTAAAAAAATATAAAATATGTGCTTTCCCTTCGCTTGAAGTTCAGAAGTTGTGAAGTGGTGAAATGGTGAAATGGTGAAGTGGTGAAGCGGGGATGATGGTAGAACACATAACGCACTCTAGCTATGCATGTGTGCAGGCGTTGGCATATTCAAATAGGATAATGGTTACGAGGAATGCAGGTATGCACTGCTTTTTTGCGTGTGCCTGAAAAATGTTGGGGGGAGCACTCGAGGCCGTTTTTAGCCTGACTGGTGGTCATAACTTTTGATAATGATACTATTTATTTGTTTTTCGACATTATTATTTATTTGCCATTATTGTTGTTCATTTTATTACTTTTTATCCATTTTGTTATGTCTTTCCCTATTTTGTCCCATGTTGTCATGCTTCCCTTCAATGCTGAATTTTAGCATTGGTTCGCAACGAAGACAATAAAACTGCTGCACAAGTGATTGGAATTTTTTTTTTTTCTTTTCTTTTTTTTTCTTTTCCTTTTTTTTCTTTTTTTTCTCCCTTCATCCCCACTAGGTAGGCCCCTGGGAAAGCTGCTCTTGAGAAGGTGCGATGTGCATCATGAAACCAAATTTATATTCGTTGTTAGGGTAATCAATATAACCACTAACCCCAAAGCCAGAATAATCTTGCGTGAAAACTGCAATTTTTCCACTGGTGTCGATACTACCTTGGACCTTTGCATGTCTAAATGAGTAATCCCATCCAAGTCTCATGGCTGATTCTTTTGTTTGTGGAGTGAGTTCAAGTTCTGTTGCCAAAGATAATCGATCAGATACTTTTTTGGCATATTGAATTTTATATAAATGTGTTTGATTAAGCATAAATTCCGGAGATTTGAAATTAGGTTGTCTCACGATTTGCATAGTTAAAACATTATTTTTATGATTGTAGCGTAACCCAAAAGATCCAATAGAAGCACAATTAGATGCAATATATGTTAAGTCCACTCCTGCTTGTAATTTTTTAGATAATAACTGAGTGTAGGAAGCATTAAAAATCCATGTCCCTTGCCATATTGTTTTCACATTATATGTATGTAAAGGTTTGTTAACTTCTACTGACATTTCATACATATTTCTAGTATCATTTTTTGCATAAGTATTAAAATTTAATTTACAATCAATATTATTATCGATCTTTTTACAGAATCTCCCATTTACACTACCATCTATATTAACCCTGCTAATCATTAATAAGCTATTATCACTATTTGTAAAGTTTGCACCAAATTGGTACAAATATCCAACATCTCTTAATGTTGTACCCAGGAATAATGTATGAGTTGACTGTAAATATTTATTAACACTTTTGTCTACTTCAAATCTAAACCCATCAAAATTATCTTGTGTTGTTATAAATTTATACTCTTTGTTTAAATTTTCAAATAATAATGCATTTGGAGCATCAAAGGTATTTGTATATGGTTGGTTAGTTGGTTCCTTTAACTTATTCGCTTCATCATTATCATTAATTTTGTTCTTTTTTTCTTCATCTTCTCCTAGTTTTGTTGTACCTATTTCTTTACTCATTTCATTTGTTTTTTCTTCACAAAATGTTATTAGGCCAGGTTTATTATTGCCTCTTGCTCTCCATTTCTCGTTTTTAAATACTTTAAAGAAGGTCTTGTTCTTTTCTGAGGCTGATGTTCTTTGTCTTCGCCATTTTTGGAAAATGTTTGCAATCTCCATAATAGGTAAATGTGCACACACGCATAAACATGAACATGAACAAAAAGGGAAATTTATACGTACATATATACAATATATATACAATATATATACAATATATATGCAATATATGGTATATGTATTTTTCTCACTCTGAATTCCCTAGCACATTAAATAACTACACTGAACTTTAAATGGTTTCTCTATCCCTCTCTTAGTTTTTGTCGTCTGTCTGTTTTTATGTGCCGCAATTGATTTCTACTTTTTGACCATTGCACAAGATATGTTTTTATTTTCTCGTACGTTAAAAATTTTCCTATTTTACCCTTTTTTTTTTTTTTTTTTTTTTTTTTTAAACTTATGCCCTATGATTCTTACATAACAGTTGATGATATGAATATTTTTCAAAAGAAATTAATTACTCTTGGGAAAATAAGCAAAACATGTAGAGTGTGTTAAAAAGATGGGTTACTCTCGCATGTTGCTTTTGATGTGGTAGCAAAATGAGTAAAAAAGAAATGGGGGATGATGAGGGACGTATTCTGTTTTTATTTCCTTATGGCTGATATTATGGATGATTACGACAGTTCACTCAGGATTGCGCTTGTTTTAACTCCTTGGTTTTTTTTTTTTTTTTTTTTTTGCATTTTCAACTTTGTTGCATATTTTTTAAATAAGCTTAATTCACCACTTACAATTCTGAAAATGTTTCAGCTGATTGTAGAAATTAATTTTTTTTTGGGTTAACTATTTCCCCTGATTGCTATGTTTGTGAAAACGATTATCATTTTTATATATTTCAATCTAGTACCATCATTTTCTATGTGCATTAGAGAAGTGCGATATTGTTATACTTTCTTCAATTGGGCGCATTTTTTTTTTTTTTTTATGTTATTTTATTTATTTATTTATTTATTTTATTTTTTATTTCATTTTTTTCTATTTTATTATATTTTTTTTCCTTCCTTTGCTTTGATCCTGTGCTAGAACATATTGCAGTATTAATGTTTGTTGGCGTTGCTTTACAAAAATGGAAATTGCGCGTTCCGAATGTAGAAGGTCGTTCTTTTTTTTTTTTTTTTTTTTTTTTTTTTAAAAGCTGATCAGTGTATAATTTGTTATTCTTGTCAATGTGTTAAGGTGAGATATATTCTCCCTCCTTATCGTAAGTTCGAGACTTATGAAAACAAGCAATTCTGATGATCTCACGTTTCGCAGTGTTTATACATATGTACATTCCATTGCCCACAAATACACTTGTGATATATTCCCTTTGATTTGGGATCGAATATCACGATTCTGCATATACGTTTATAAAATTGGATCTCACGCTACGCATTGCATGTATATATATATATATATATATATATATATATATACATACATACGTACATACGTACACACATTCACACATACATATATATACAGGTTGAAAGAAATTGTTTAATTTTTTTTTTCATTTCTTGGAAATGATAGAACATGCAGAGAACTTTGCCTGACGTATGAAAATCATAATATGGTTTTTGTATACCTATGCGAATTAGATAGACTTAATTAAGCCGTTCGTGAGTTTTTTTTTTTTTTCCTACACTATTTACTGCACTTTTTTTCTTTCATTCCATTTATGCTGTTATAACATTTTACAACTGTACAAATTCGCAATCATTTTGTACAAAAGGGGAAAGGGGACATTATATTTTGTGAAATATACATCGGTGTGAAACACATATATTTAAGTGATCAGGCTGAATGATGGAATCGTGTTCATTCTTGCATGTATTGGTAAGGGAGTATATCTTTTGGGAAAAAATATATATTTTTTAGTCCAACGTGCTATTTTTAATTTTTAAATGGCAAGAGAAAGAGAGCGAGACATACAAACAGAAAGATAGACAGATGGGGTACGCACAATACGTACTTCTCGCTTTACCATTTAAGAAAAATTTTACACTTTTGTGAATAGACAAATTAAATATCTTTCCACTTAGTATGTTGTTTGATGTCTTACATGATTGTTCATTTAAAGAATTCCTTGTATTGTTTTAGTTCCCCACATTCCCCCACGGTTTCTCCCTTTTTTTTTTTTTTTTTTCTCTTATCACTTTGCTTTTGTTTTCATCTCTTATTGACATTGCGATGGACGAGCTAAACGTTTATGTTATGATTTCTCGGTTACAAAGTGTTCTAAAATTCTGTGAAGATGGTAGGTCTCGCTACTAGTGTCATAGTTCCTCATAACAAAATGTTAGAAAGAGAAACAGCTACTCGAGTTTAACTATCACTCAAGATTAACTTCGAATCAAGTGCAGCTGGCACTCGTCTTGGATAGTAAAAAAAAAAAAATAAAGCACCATGTTGCTTAACAGTAAAACGGGATGATTTAAAATTTTTCTCCTTTTTGAGACCCCGCAAGAAAGAACATATAGAACGATTAAATGTTGTCTTACGACATTCAAAAAATTCTGCACAAATTTCAGCTTTTTAAGTTTGCGGGATTTTCTTCCTTTTTCCAGTTTCTGCTTCATAGTTTACCACCCCTTTTGTAGGATGTACATAAAATAAAAATTTATATTTTTTTTACGTTCAAACGTTTGTTCGCATGGACATGTAAAGGTATCTACATATAATGTAAAAAACTTTATGCACATGGTAGTATATCCAAGATGCTAACAAAAGAAAATTTCTATTTCTATATGGTAAATAATTTCTATTAACACTAGAGAAGGGGGAAATCTTTAGAATGCAGAAACAAGGGTCCAAAATGTGTTTTTCATGATATCTCTCCACCTTAGATTTCTTAGTTTCTCATCACTGCAGCTTCTACATGTGTTCAATCGTCCACTGTAAATATGTCACTTAAAAGTGCTAAAGGTGGAGAAAGAAAAGAAAAAAAAAAAAAGTACGCTAACGAAATGTTCCCATATAGAGTTATTGCCCAGAATATTACAGTTCATATTTTTTTGGTTTTTTTTTTTTTTTTTTTTTTTTTTTTTCTGATTGTGCAGTTTTGCAGGTATATATTGCCGTTTCGTGTGTCCACGGTAGGATGGAAAAATTTTCCTGAGTATAATTCCTCAACCACTACTATCTACTAGAGTATAATATATATATATGACATAACATATGTGTCTGTCATAAGAACATGATGAGAAAAAACAAATTAAGTTAATATACTATATATACACACCCCAGAGGCATTTATAAAAGTCTCAAAATGTCATGAGACCTCGAATGAGACAATCTGATTTTTGTGTTTGGTTTTTTTTTTTTTTTGTTTTTTTTTTTGTTGACTCTGCATTGCTAGTAATAGTTTTTGGGTTAAAAATTTATTATTGCTACTGCTCCTTTCGGGAATAGTATACGCAACAGGTATAATTTTTTTTTTTTTTGAAAAGGGAAAAAAGAAAGAATTTTCGATTTTATAAATCTTGTAAGAGAAAAAGGAGAGAGAAAGAAATGGTAGTAGAAAGGTGGATATACTCAACGATACAGTTTTTTACTACATATGTGAATCCGGAAAAAAAAAAAAAAAAAAAAAAAAAAAAACAATCCCGTGAAATGTATCACCCCAATGAGTTATTTTATTTTATTTCAAAAATATTCATACGTTTTTTGACTTCTTATAAATTTGTTCCCTTTTTTTTTTTTTTGGTAATTTTTTGCCTAATTTTTGGTTAATTTTTTCGTTCGCTTTTTCGTTCGCTTTTTCGTTCGTTTTTTCGTTCGTTTTTTCGTTCGTTTTTTCGTTCGTTTTTTCGTTCGCTTTTTCGTTCGCTTTTTCATTCGTTTTTCAGGTTTAGTTATTTTTTCCCCCAACTTGGAATTTCTCCCACTTCGAACTTCTTGGACTTGGAGCATCTCACCCTGTCCGCGACCCAACTTGACACCATAAGGAGAACAAGCGATGAGAAAAAAAGGATGAAGGGAGAAGGTTATCATTTTTTTTTTAAAGGTGTTTAAAAGATGATACATATTTTCCAATATGAATTTGTGAAAAGAAAAAAAAAAAAAAAAAAAAGGGGAAGAGAGATAAATACATTGTAAAGCAATTACGAGAAAAAAGAATACGACAAAATGATGAAGCATAGTATCAAGGGGTTGTACTGTTTCATTGATGAAATTAGAAATTGCAAATGTTTGGAGGACGAAGAAAAAACAGTACTTGAAGAAATTATCAAGATAAAGAAAAAATTCAATGAAAAAAATATAACAAACTATAAGAGGAAGAAATATATATGGAAATTAATATACTGTCATATACTTGGTTATGGTATCTCATTATCATACTTGGATATCATAAAATTGATAAGTAGTTCTAATTTCAGTGATAAGTACTGTGGGTATACAGCTTTATCTTTACTTGTGAATGAAAATAATGAAATGTTGCACATGATAATAAGTAGTATAAAAATGGATTTAAAAAGTAATGATGAGAAGGTAAATTTTCTTGCTTTACATTTTGTTAGTCAAAAAATAAATGATTTGTTAATAGAAAATATGTATGATGACATATTACATATTGTTACATCTAATTATATATACAAACCAAATATTCGAAAAAAAGCATTTCTCTGTTTAGCAAATATTTACAAAAAGAGACATGATTTGTTGTTAAAAAGTAAAACAGATCTGGAAATTTTCAAATTTCTCGATCAGAACATGAACGAAATAAACATGTTTAACGTTTTTGCATACCTCAATTTGATATATGTTATTATATTGGTGTTTCAAAAATATGAAGCCATGAATTACTATAGGAAGAAACAGGAGAGGAAAAAAAAAAACTCCTTGGATGAAAAGTATGAAATAAGGCAAGATGGACATGGTAATAAAGACGATGAGGAGGACGACGACGAGGATGAGGATGATAATGATGAGGATGAAGATGAAGACCCGGGTAATCATATGGAGCAACATGACAGACAGGGTGAGCATCGGCATGATCGTGATGAACATTTCATTAAGCGGGAAGACTTTAAAGTAGATTCTAACAGTTTCAGCAACCATAACGTGAAACGAATTATATCTCTAAATATAAAAGATCATGTTAAGAAGAAAAGACACAAATATAATAATTCTTCACTTTCGCATGAACAAAGGTTCCTGTACAATGATTTGAAAAAAGTAGACAAAATTTTAGAAATCGATTCACAGTGCAATTTCAACATTGAAGAAATTGATTTTTGTGAAATTAAAAAGTATATCAACAAATACATCCATTTTATATTAAATGTGTTGTATTTAATTCTGGATGAAAATTTAAAAATCGATGAAGGTTTTTTTTATTGCCAATTCAGATACCCATTTTTACTTATAAAATGTCTACAAATGGTGCAATTGTATGATATTCATAGTTTATCACAAAATACTGTAAATAATATCAATGATATATTATTCAAAATTGTTAAAAAACCATTTAAAAAATTACAAGGGAAGATAAATAATGAAACAGATAAGATAAAAAATGCAAATCAGCACACCACCCCTTCTCATCATCATCTTCACCTGAATGCACAGAATAAAGGCAATGCTAATATAAGGAAAAACATTTTTAGAAAAAAATTTTCAAGAAATAGTTTCTATATGAGTGCAAAAAAATCGAAGGAAGAATTAAGAAATGAAAAAAGTACTACCTATATTGAATATGGAATTATTTATGAATGTTGTAATTTACACAATTTCCTTGGTTATCATATAGAGGATAGAAATAGAGACATCATTTTATGTCTCATTACAAGTTCATTTGATACAAAGAAATCAAATATTAATTATGTCATTCTGAATAGTTTAGCAAAATTAAAAATGAATTTAAAAATTTACAACATGTTAGAAAATCATATTATGCATTTAATTAATCTTCTTAACAATGATGATATAACTATAAAATTGCAAACTTTTAATATTCTCTTCAACATGTGTAATCGATCAAATTGGAAACTTCTCATCAATGTTTTTTTGCATCACTTACCATATATTGATCCGTATATTCAAAACGAAGTTATTATCAAAATTTCCATACTAGCTGAGAATTTCTCTCCTGATTTGTCTTGGTACATTGATGTAATATTCAAAATGATTGAAATTACACACAGGTCTATCTTCCCTGAAGTGTGGTTTAGATTAGTCCAGATAATTACTGGTTTTGTGGAGGGTAATAAATTAGAAAAACGTGATAAAGTGGAAAAAAGTGATAAAACTCAAAGAGAAAAAGTCGAAAAGACAGAAAGAATCAATAGTCGTGGGGAAGGGAGAGAAAAAATTGGAAAATTTTCTAAAAAGGAAAATAATACCTCAGATAACAATAAATCTAAAGAGGAATATAAAATACAAACATATGCAGCTATGAAATGTTATAAATACTTGTCTGACCGTTATACCAAAATTGAACTTCTCATCGATTTATGCTCTTACATTATTGGTTCATTTGGATACTTAATTAAGGATAAAATCCCAATGAACAATCAGTTCAAAATCTTAGAAAAATATTTTACTCTTGGTTCATCCAATACAAAATGTGTAATTCTCATGGCTATGATGAAAATGGTTTTTTATGAAAATAAACTCATGAATTCTGTCAAAAAAATTCTGAACAATTGTATTAGTCATGCAGATTTAGAGCTACAAACAAGGGCATGTGAATTTCTCAATTTATGCAATTTGAACAATATCGGCATGCTTAACTATTTGCTGAAGAGCATGCCTCTGTACAACACCAAGAAGGCCCATGAAAACTTTCTCATCAAGAGACTCCTGGAGAAGAACAAGTAGAATTGCATCTGATGGAGGCCGTGCTTTCCATGACGTGTCATTTTTTTACGTGTCATTTTTTTTACGTGTCATTTTTTTTACGTGTCATTTTTTTTACGTGTCATTTTTTTTACGTGTCATTTTTTTTACGTGTCATTTTTTTTACGTGTCATTTTTTTTACGTGTCATTTTTTTTACGTGTCATTTTTTTACATGGTATTTCTCCGATGTTGCACCCCTCCTCCTCCGTAGACACGCAGTGATCGATTTCAATGAAAGGGACAAGGATCAAAGCGTAGAGAAGCACCAAGAAAGAATCAAAATAAACAATAGACATGACGAGAATTACAAAGACTCATATCATGATAGAGATAGTGAGTATAGTAAGAAAAAGGAAAATTCTGAATCTTCCTCTGATGAGAGTTCCAATAACAGAGGGGGGAACATGCGCAAAGATTCAGTGGGATCATCAGATAATTCCAAAAAATCGTCTAGTGTGTCAAGTCATAAATCGAAAAATTCAAGTGAACGAGCAGATGATAATGCAAAATTGTTTAAAAGTCTTTGTCTTCAAAAGGCGAATAATATAAATGATTTATGGTTTAATGCATGTTTGTTAGATGAGGCTTTGTTTTTTAAAAACAGCGTCTTGTCTATTTTGATTAAACAGAAATATCAAGAAAATAAAATCATCTTGAATTTTTATGTCAAGAATATTTCCAACACCATGGTAAATCTTGTCAGGTAGGAAACACAACTACAAGGAAGTATAGGGGAGATCCCTGCTACACAACTAAAAGGTGGCAGACATTCTACGGGCCAACAACTTGTATATACATATATATACATATATATCTATATATACATATAGATATACATATTTTTGTATCTAATTTGTTACATTCATATGAATGAACTTACATTAGGTAGATACCACCGCGACAGTGTTTTTCGAATTCTCTCCCTGAATTTTTTTTTTTTTTTTTTTTTTTTGATCATGCTGTGGTATTGCGTTGGTGTATGTGGGGGTGGAGGAAGAAGTATAGTTGTCAGAACATATTTTTCCCCATATCCTCCTTTTTCTGTTTCTTTTTCTGTTTCTTTTTTTTTTTTTTTTTTTTTTTTTTTTTGGTAAGTTATATTTTTTTTATCCCTACTCACCACCTTTAGCATCCGGACAGAAGATTGTGAACAGATGAATATAAAAGAACCGAAAACAGTGATGAACGAGAAAATTGACTCGAACAGTGTGTATGTTCATAAACTTATAATTACAATAACTGACATTTTTTACAACATTCCTAGTATCTATTTCAATGTCCTCACAACCAATTCATTGGTAAGCTCAGCCCCAGATGGCTTTGTGCTAAATCCTGTTCATGTACCACGAAGCTTAATTACCTGTACAAACTTGTACAAAAAAAAAAAAAAAAGATATACTCTACCGTACCGTACCCTTCGCGCCCCACCCACACACACACACATGTTCTTGATTCATTTTAGACATTACTGTCTCATCCATGTCTCTTATCATCATCACACTCCCTCTTACAGAACGCAAGCCTCTCATCCAAGTTACCAATTTTGATAACGAGATTTATTAAAGAAAACAAAATGAACGAATCTACTTTTAAAATATACTGGAAAGCCCTGACACAAGTACATAATGAGGATATTATAATGGGTGTACCCAAATTTTCCAAAAAATATTTTTTTAATTATCTCGTTAACGCGTTTAATTTTTACATATTGAAGGTAAATAAACATCTTGACATATTTTCTCATATTCACACATGCACTGAGTGAATTATGTGTTCATTACTGTGCAAGTGTCCACGTTCTGCATACATCATATATATGCAGTTTTTCTTACTCTATGAGTTACATTTGAAGCAAACATTGCGACCATGATCCCTCTTTTTTTTTTTTTTTTTTTTTTTTTTTTTTTTTTTTTTGCAGATTGGTTCACTTATATGTGCATCCGGTTACATACACTTTCCTCTCACGGATAGTGAAAACAAAATTTTAATTCTTGTCAAAATTAGGCATGAAGTGAAAGGGTACACATATGTAAATATATGCACAAATATGTGCAAATATGTACACATATGTACACTTATATATATATATATATATATATACATAAAAAATCGCATGATCGAACTTCACATTTTGCATGTTTTTGCCCTTCCAGTCTTATATCATCCTTTTGAATGGATTTGCATACGTTTCAAGTGCATATGAAGCCATGTGTGTAATCATATATAATATATTACTAATTTTTTTTTTTTTTTTTTTTTTCTTACATGCATTTTCTCCCTCACGTAGGTGCCAAATTTCTGTTGTTTCAAGCATCAGACACTTGAATAATTATCTGAACAAAATATTTGAAATTTACCTTATAAAGAACAAATAAAAAGGGAGAAGAGTACACAAATGTGTGCATACCGATGTACATTCCCCTGTGTGCATACCTACACGCATGTATTTTTTTTTCATCCCTTTTTCATCCCTTTTTCAGCCACTATTTATCCTTTATTCATCGTTTTTTTCTTTTTCGTTTTTATTTTGTGCTCCTCTCCTCCGATACCCATATCCCCCTATGAACTTACATTATTTTACGTTTTGAAGAGGAATGAAAAATTTACTTTGTTTTACAAGAGTTCTTTTATCGTCTTACTGATTTGTACATTTTATCCATATTTTATTTTTATGACATAATTCTGATGACATAATTTTACGTTATTTCTTACATATCTTTCCCCCTCCACCCCTGTGTTATTATTTTATTTTTGGATGATTTGTTTGTTTCGCCTCTATGTCATTACTGACATCGATACTTATGTAGTTATTCTATTTTATTGTTCGCCACATGTTACTTTTTTTTTTTTTTTTTTTTTTTTTTTTTCCTCTTTTTTTTTTTTTTTTTTTTTTTTTTCTCTCTACATGTTTTTCCTATTTGCTTCTTTTCTTTTCTGAAAACTTTAATTATTAATATATATATATATATATATATATATATATATATATATATATACCCCTTAATGGTTTCAATTGTTTTTAAGAAACTGAAATTATTTATATAACGTACCTGTAAACCTATAAGCTTTGTACACACATAATGTGATGATTTGCACAATATTATGCGTCTTACATAAATTTAGAAACAGAAAATCGTATATATTACAAATTTATTTTTTCATCTACAATTCATCATAAAATGGGAGAAATGGGTAAAGTTTGTAGGAATCAGTATCATGCCATTAAGAGCTAATTTCTTTTTTTTTTTTTTTTTTTAATATTCCAGAATTCAGATAAACCGTGAAGAAAAATGTCTAAAAATAGGGATAAACGTTGTCACCTCCCGAAGGTGATAATTGAAATAAAAAAAAAAAAAAAAAAAAAATTAGCTCCTGTTATAACTCCAGTTAAAAATTAACAAAGTAAAACATAATCCATCCTTTTAACATTTTGTGAAATGATAAACTCTCAACAATTGGTCACTTTTTTTATTACCATATACGTGCGTACACAAAAATAGACTCTAATGAGGAAAGAATTGCACGAATATATCCTCATTTGGAATTATATGAGTTTTTTTTTTTTTTTTTTTTTTTTTTTTTTAAAAAATAAAAAAAAAATAAAATAAAAAAAAATTTTTTTTAAAAAATCTCACAAAACAAAATTCTCTTTCCCCTTTTAAAAAAAAAAAAAAAAAAAAAAAAAAAAAAAAAAAAAAAAAACTTATGAAAGTGTTCATACAAAAGAGCTGCGTCATGTGGGGAAAAAAAAAAAAAAAAAAAAAAAAGCGAAATAAGAAAAAATAAGAGAAATAAAAGAGAATAATAAAAATATAATATTTTACATGTTAAAAATTATTGTGTAATGAAAAAAAAAAAAAAAATTAAATATCACAATAAAATAAAAAATATATATAAAACAAAAACATTAATGTGCATTTTCTACGACAACATTTGATAGTATGTTGTATGGGTAGAGAAAAATATGATAACAGCTCTCCACATTAAGGGCTGTGTGTGAAAAGGAAATTTTTTTTATATACATTCAATGAAAAACGAAGCAGATATAAAATATTCGTTTGCATATACATGTACGCGTACATGTTATATTATATACTACCTGAGTCCTGAGTGTGTATGCTTGTCGGTAAAAGTGCTTAATTGTTTAAGGGGCCCCCAATAGAATGTGTCATTTGTGGTGTATATATAAAGCTGTGTATATACACCCAAATGTTCATGCCCCTCCCCATTGACATATAATGTGTGCACGTGCTATATATATATATATATATATATATATACATATACGTAAGCACATAACGACATAAAAATCTGCTTGTAAGAAGTAAATATATATATATATCTACATATATATGCAAACATATGAATGTTAGTGCACATGAATTTCTACGAATTTATGCAGAGTTCAATTACTTGCCACCACTTAATGCTGCAAACATTTTATTAATGTATATTTTTTTCTGTTGACATAGAAGCTGGTGTATATATATAAAACATATGTACATGCTTGGAGATTGGCCAGAGCGACAATTCTACATAAGAGTATATGTAACAGGTGAATATTTTACTGCCTGTACGTGTTAAGGCAAAAGTAACAAAAAAATTTATATTTATTTAAGTAATATATAAAATCCCCTTTTTATATATTTGCTTAATTATATATATACACCCTTTTACTTTTTTCCCAATTTTGACATTTTGTGCACACTTTATTTTTATTATACATTTTAAATTGCTGCGTTAATTCGTGCTATATACATATATATATATATATATAATACATGTGTATATGTATACGTATATGCATATTTATGCATATGTATGTTTTATATACAAGTGACACTATTTTGTTTACCCCCCTCCGAAACGCTTTTTTTTTTTATTTTATTTTATTTTATTTATTTATTTTTTTTTTTTTTTCTACCCCACTATTCTACTTTTTATCTTTTTTCTGTTTCCCCATTTGTTCCACCTTTTTATATATTTTATTCATTTATATATATATTTTTTTTTTTACAAATAATTCCATGCCTTCACCTACGCGACTCCCATCAAATGCCACTCATATGACAGACGACATGTGAAAAGTATATGTATGTATATATATACAGGTACATACACATAAATACCATAAACCTGTGACTGTTCAAGTTCACGTAAATGTTACTCCGGTAAACACTCTAACCTAATATACAAATTTATGTAATCTTTTGCTTATTGGCATATATTATATACATAGTGTATCTTTTCCCCACCTTTTTTTTTTTTTTTTTTTTTCCTATACTATAAACAAAAAAAAAAAAAAAAAATTACGAACAAGTTCATAATACATATATATATATATATATATATATATATACATATCAGTGACAAAAGGCAGTTCGCTTGTTTACATTCACCTTGAAATTTGTTTTATGAATAATTCACCACCAAGATTCTCCCAGTGCGATTAATTTTAGATACAAATGAACATAATATTCACACGTGCCACATATACATTCATACATTCGCATAAATGCGTGAATATATGTGACAGATAACGATCTTGTTGAACGTGGAAGGAGACCACACCCCATTGCCCACTACTACACTATTTGTATGATCAAACGAAAAAAAGAAAGGAATTTTTGATAAATATAATATATAATGGTTTTATGAGTTGCCGTTGTTTCTTCACGCGAATACAAAGGAACACGTAGTTTCCCGCACGTTGGTAATTAAGAGAAAAGCATATATGAGTGTTACAATTTATTAGTTAGATTTTTTCCACTCACACCCAACTTCTCTCCCTTGTTTATTTTTTTTTTTATCTTTCACCTTGCACACAGCGTCTACATTTATGTTGTCACATCCGTGCAAGCAATGTTCCCTTAGATGACATAAAAATTACCACATGTTTGTTTTCATCTCAGTAACAAGCAACACAGCGTTTATTTTATTATTATTATTTTTATTATTTCATTACTGTTTTCATTATTTTTCTTTATTATTATTTGCATTTAATTATTTATATATCTATTCATCTATCTAATTATATATTTATTGTTTTGTTATTACCCATATATATGATACAGTCCCCCTCTGTGTGTTTATCTTATTTATTACATGAAACTAAAGGTGTAACAAGCCGGTTGAGGTTATACCATTTTGTGCATACAACCACCAGAAAACAATATGTGCTACTTGTGGGGAGTGTATGCTTTTGTAAAGTTTACAGACTTGTACCATTTCGTTATTTTTTATTTGGTCTCTGTTTTTTTCTTCTTATTCCAGTTTTCACCCTATTTGCTTATGATATATGTGCATGTATACATATATATGTATATAATTTTTTTTTTTTTTTTTTTTTCTTTGCTCTATTCTTTTTAAATATTTTATATAATCCAACCCCCCCCCCCCCCCCCTCCTTTTGATATATTTACTCTGCATTGTGCATATCTCCACATTGCATCACCGTTTTTTCATACTTGCCTGTACAGCAATATTTTTAATCATATTTTGTATGAACGGACAGGCGAGAAAATTTCCTTTTGGAATTTCTTATGAGGAAAAAGCATTTATCTGCGTTCATGCGTGTGCCCATATATGTGTATACATATATTATATTTACATAAATGTGTGTATATGCATGTGTTACGAGAAGAAATATTGCAACTCATGAAAATATTCCAATAAAAACATTCTTTTCCTATTTGTTTATATTTTTAGATGAATCTTTTATGAACAAGCAAGCCAAATTCATTTACCCGCGTATGAAGCATTCAGTATATTTGGAAGAAATTTTTTTTATCAATGCATAGCTCAAGTTGAGGAAAGTTTTTTTTTTTTTTTTTTTTTTTTTTTTTTTTTCATTTAAAGGTATTACTATTTGCTTTATTCAGATTAGGTAGATCCGTTCTGTCTCTCTCTCTTTTTCTCTCGCGTTGTCTGTCTCTCTCTTTCCCTCTCTCACGCGCTCTCTTTTTTTTTTTTTTTTTTTTTCCCGTTCCTCATTTCTCTCCTTAAAGTTATCAATTTTAAATACCAAAATGACAGAAGCTGAAAAAGTAAAAGTTGAGAAACCTGACTTTGACGCATATAATGAAAAGTTGAATAATATTTCGGAATCGATTGATCAGATTAAGAAAAAAATTGTAAGTCTTCATTGTGAGGGTTTACATATGTGAAAAGATAGATACATGTATAGTTATATATTTATATATATTTGTGCATAACTATGATAGAGAAAATGGTTAGCAGTTTGCTGATTTATCCAATTCTTGAGCCAATTCTATGAAATATAATTTTATCAGAACGGTGTTCATTCTTATTTTCTCTTCTCATTCTACGAGTTCGACATTTGCAAGGGAGGATGTTGTGTACCATCACCCCCCCCCCCCCATTTATATTTACTCTTCTTTGAATGTTACCGTGATGAATCCCCCTACCAGGGAAGTGCACCGCTGAAGTGCACCTCTTAACTGCACCGCTTAACTGCACCGCCTAACTGCACCGCCTAACTGCACCTCTGCACACAGGATAATCTGCAAAAGGAAATCAAAATAGCCAATAAAGGCAAAGAAGAATTCAACAAAAAGAAAAAAGACATTGTTACGCGAATTGACGGATTTCAACAAGAAATAGATAAATTGGAAAATGAAAGGCGAAAAATATTAGATGATATGGAAAAGAAGCAAAAGCACAAAAAAGAGCTAAAAGTAAATGCACAGAATATAAAGAAGCAGATTGGGTTTCAGAATGAGGAAGATATTGAAAAGAAAATTAAAGAAATTGAAAACAAATTGATGACATCAACAATTTCTATTAAGGAAGAGAAATTGCTAATTAATCAGATTCAAGCATTGAATAAGAACAAACCTCTTCTGAATTCCTATAGCAAAATTGAAACGGAAGCAAATAAGTACGACGATGAGACCATAATACCATTGAAGAGTCGTATGGATGCCATCAGGGAGCAGATAAATAAATTGAGAGATGAAAAAAAAAATGAGAGAAACAAATTGAAAGAACTACAAAATAGCTATCAAGAAAAAAATAACAAATTGAACGAACTAAACAACTTAAGAGATAATTATTCGAAAAAAATGAATAGCTACTTTATTGAAAGAAGAAACATAACTGTTGAAATGGAAGAAAAAAGACAACAATATAGAAGCTATAAAATAAATTTATTGCAAGCGAAACAACAAAAATTAAAAGAAGACAGAGAGAGAAAAAATCTAGAAATAGAAAAACAAGCATTAGAAAAAGATCTTGAAGATATTGATTTATTACCTTATAGAGAAGAATTAGCTCTCATTGAAAATATGTTAGTGTATTTAAAAAAAATCCAAGAAGAATCCAAAGTAGAAGATGCTAAAAAACAGCAAAATAATTCTTCTGACAAAAAGGTGAATGGAGATGTAGATGGTACAGAAAATGATAAACAAGCAAATAATGCAAATGCCAAGGGAAAAAATGAAAATAAAAAAACAAAAAGTAAAAAAGATAAGCAAAAAATTTTTAAATTGGATATGAATATTCTCTGCTATTTTGTTACTGCTGGAATAACGCCACCCGTAAGTTTTGACGAAGTAGATTCTTGTATCACGAAGTTGCACGAGAAAAGAGAATTTTATAAGACCAAGAGGGATGAGAGTGTGAAGAATGTGGAATCTAGACGAGCTGACCTCATGGCAAAAATTAAGGGTAAGTGCACATATACATATATATATATATATATATATATATATATATATATATATGTATATATATATATATATGTGCTAGTACATGTATGCATTTTGCATCGAGTGTGTGTGATAATTTTTTGCGTATCAGTAAGGAGTGATCACTACTTTTTCTCCATATGTTTGTGGTATTGCAATCAATGTATATGCTATTGCATTTGTGGTGTTACTCTAACCATTTTTTTCTTTTTGCACGTTTTGCACTTATTTCTGCACACGTGCCAAAAATATCCCCTTTTTAGAAATCGAGGAAAAACTGGGTGCCTTCAAGCCAAATGATCAACAGAAAGGAAACAAGATGGGCAATAAAACCAAAGCTTGAATTGACAAATATATAGGATAGCGTATATTCAAATTAGATAATAACGTATATAACCATGTATGTGTATATATATATGTGCCTGTTCCTGTGTGTGTGTTTGTATTTGTACCCGTACGTATCATATATATAACATCAAAACATGTGTATTTTTTTTTTTTTTTTTGTTTTTTAATATAATTTTTTTTTTTTTTTTTCCTTTTTGAAAAATATTTTTTGCCCACAGTTTAATAATTATATATCTCTTTATCAATTATATTAAAAATGGGACGAATCACACGAATAGATGAGTAAACCAAATGTGCCAAGTGGGATGAGCAAAAAAAAAAAAAAAGTTAAGAAAAGATAAGAAAAGAAAAGATAAGATAAGAAAAGATAAGAAACGATAAGAAAAGATAAGAAAAGATAAGAAAAGATAAGAAAAATGAAAAATCACTTTCATGTCCGCCTGAATATTTAACATCGTTCTACATATTTTATCATTAGAGCCATTTTTTTTTTTTTTTTTAAATATCCCATTTTTGTAAAACAGGCTCTATGCATTAATCATGTATTTCTTTCGTGCTCTCCCCGCAACTTCATATTTAAACTCTTTTTTTTTTCTTTTTATTTATCTCTGCATGTGTATTATAGTACATTTATATACGTCTGCGTATATATATGTGCACACATGACACCCTCACCCCCAATATGCTAATTATCCTTTGACCCACATATGTATGATTAAAAAAAAAAAAAAAAAAAAAAAAAAGAATTCATATGATTTATTCTTAATTAATAAAGTAGCATTTATTCTATTCGTATGCAAATTTAAAAACACTATAATAAAATTATTAGCTAAAATAAAATTTTATAATTTTAAATTTATCTTATACTTTTTTATACATATTAGTCTTAAATCATTTGATTAAGAAAATATATATATATATATATATATATATATATATATGTTCACTTGTTTTACTTCCATTTTGAAATACCTTATGTATTATGTATGCCACGATGATTAAGTGGCATTTTAGCTATTTCGTGCAGGTCGAATTATTAAGGATATATACTTCTCGTATATACTACATATACATATAAAGACAAACCATGTGCTAGGTTCATTTTCTCCCTAGGTAACTATACCCATTGAGGGACATAAGAAGGAATTGTAACGAATATATAAAGGTATGAAAACTTAAAAAAAGATAAAAAAAAAAAAAAAAAAACACACACACTTAACCTGTACGTTGTTCATGTGAGTATGAACATATGTATATTTATATGTCTTATGACAAATCCAAGTAGAAGTTTCTTTTATTTGCCTTTTTTTCTCTAAATCGTTTTCTGCTTTTATCTTGATCAAATAACCCAAAGTTGCAACAACGGAGGTTTTTTTTTTTTTTTTCCCCCTCTGTTTGGCAAAAAGACAATTTTATGAACATGTACATGTGAAATTGTACATGTGAAATTGTATATGTGAAATCGTACTTGAAATCGTACTTGAAATCGTACTTGAAATCGTACTTGAAATCGTACTTGAAATCGTACTTGAAATTGTACTTGAAATTGTACTTGAAATTGTACTTGAAATGCAGTTAAAAAAGTGGGAGAAAAAAAAAGAAAAGACTCCTAAAATATATTGAGATAAAAATATTTTTCCCCCAAATGAACGCAACGACGTGGTGGAGGAGAAGGTCATTCAGCTGGTCTAAGCACAAAAGTGGCTCCAGACAATTTGGGGTTATTCATCTAGTTAGTATATGGCATTCAGGATGGAAGTAATTTTATTTTATTTTATTTTTATTTTTTTTTTTTTTCCCTATTTTCTTTAAAGGGATAAATTATTTATCCATAAAAACGTTCTGATTATTTTTCAGAGAGCGAAATTTCTACACATAAACTGGTATACCTACACGCATATAAATGTACAAATACACATATATACACACACACATATATATATATATATATATACATACATACGTATGTATACATGTGTGTATATATTCACTTTCATTTTTACCGAATTTACCAAATCATACACATGAAAAAGGGCACACATTTTATTCACGAATGTGTCAATACCCGAAGCAGAGACTTTTAACTTGAAACAACGCACATCATATCATTTGAAGAGAAATCCAAGGGCAACAATAAAATTTAAAAAAAAAAAAAAAAAAAAAAAAAAAAAAAAAAAAACATGGAAAAAAAAAAAAAAGAAAATAAAAAAAAAAACAAACGATTTTTTATTGGTAAAAATTCAAAACATTGCGAAAATAAAAAAAAAAAAAAAAAAAAAAAAAAAAAAAAAAAAAAAAAAAAAAAAAAAAAAAAAAAATTAATATATTTTTATATTTTTTATTTCCCACTCATTCCCCTACCCATTTCACAGTTTTTTTTTTTTTTTCCCCCCACCCCTCCCCTTTGACGTTCTTATTTAACTATGGACCCATCATATCGAACATTACGAACTGTTGAATTGCAGAAACGAAGGGTAACTCAATCGAAGAATGTGTCAAACTTATCTGAACGGAAGCTCGCAAGTGTGTATGCGGTACGTCTGAGAAAGTGTGCATGAGAAGAACAAGCGTTTGCATGTGTATCTGAACACACAATTCCCTGCAGGAACAACCGAAAATATAAATCTGAAGCTTTTTCCACATTAACAAACAACACTCACCCCTGTCCCCCACACCCACACACACACACAGCCAAAAGACTTCGATGAAGATTCAACGATCGTAGTTTGTAACTTTCCCCAAAAGACCACGATAAATGATTGCAAGAATTTTATGCAATGGATTGGGCCAGTTATAAAAGTTGAAAAAATACCATCTTTTATGCAAGAGAATAATTATCTCGTTGTGTTTTGTAACCCATACTTTGCTAAGGTAGCACAACCTTTTTTTTTTTTTTTTTTTTTTATTTATTACTTTATTCAAACTGTTCAGTTATGCATTTAGTTTTACACTTTAACCTTTTTACTTATATGAACAATAATATTCTGTGAAACTTTCCAATAAAAGGGAAGCCCAAAAAAAAAAAAAAAAAAAAAGAGAGGATAAGGGGGATATACAAAACATGTAGAAAAATAATATATCTGAACAGAATTATAAGAAAATGTAGTGTATTGTTACTAATAAAAAGATATGTATTTTTTGTAAATACTTACCCATATCATCAAAATTATACTTGTTGATATTTCTCCTTTTCAGGCAGCACTTGAAACACAACTTATATATGAAAATAAAACCAGGCTTTTTATTAGATCGGTGGAAAAGAGAGAAACTCTTTGGAAAAACATAAACGACATGATCTCAACGAATATTGGATTTTTCTCATAAGAAACAGGAAACATTCCTCACAAGCATATGAAATACAATCTGAAGTACACCCTTTTTTAATGAATATGGAAACAATTTTTCACCTGTGCTTGATAACACATTTTTTTTTTTTTTTTTCCGTTTTAGCTTAACCTTGTGTGTAGCCTTTTTTTTTTTTTTTTTTTTTTTTCCTTTTTTTGTTTAACCGTGTGTGTTTTCTTTTTTTTTATTTTTTTTTTTTTTTTTTTTTTTTTTTTTTTTTTTCCCTTTTTAGCTTAACCGTGTGTGTGTACTTTTTTTTAATTTTTTTTTTTTTGTTTTCATTTTTTTGTACATAAAAAGTTACCAAATTTTATCCTTATTTCTAAAATATTTTCAAATAATTGTGAAAGCTCCGCCCTCCCCTCCCCCAGTAAGGTCTCTACATCCTTACCTGAATTATAACATATTGTGATGAAAAGTGGTAGACACAATCACTTCATTTTTTGTAAAAGAACAAAACAAAGCAGAGAGTGTGTCTGCATTATATGCATACGAATGGATACTTGTTTTTTTTCAACACATATCGAGATGACTCTTAAAATGGAAACAGAGGGGAGGAAAAGAACGTTTTCTTACCAAATACACTCATTCATACGTAAGTTGGGAATTTCTTATGATACATAATATGAGTTCTTACACGAAAAGTTGTTCCTATGCATAGCATAATTGGAGGACGTGAAAAAGACAAAAAAATGAAAAAAAAAAAAGAAAAAAGCTTCTATCCTTGTTGAAATAAAATAAAAACAACATAAATTGAATCATTTTTTTTTTTTTTTTTTTTTTTTGGCATACATAATATCCCAATTTGTACGTTTCAATCTTATATGTAAAATTGTAATTACATGGAAATTTTTCAAATGTAATAAATGGTACTTCATGTAGTATTAATCTTGATTGAGAATAAATCATGATCGATATTGCCTAAATATGTGGATACGAGAAAAAGAGTTGAATTTCTTTGATTTCCATCCTGTTTTTATACCACTCATTTTCATAATATTGATAAAAATATGATAATAAAGTAAGATAATTCATTTAAGAAAATTTGTAAATAGCACACACACACACATATATATATATATATATATACCCATTTCTCACAAAGTAAAGCAAATTTTCCCTTTAAAATTTTAGCCAAGTTAACCTTCAAA